CATTAAAGAATTTATTAAGGTCTTTACTTCTCTATTTTTTACTAGTATTACTAGTAGTTAATCTTAAAGACCTCTTATTAACGTTTAGTATTAATCTAGTGCTAAACTTTAATAGTCTTAAGGGCGTATAAGTCCTTTATCTCTCTAATAATTATTAGAGGATAAGGCTATTATAAGGACTTAGCTAGCTAGACTAGCTGCCTATAGCGTATGTCTAGGTTTACCTTATAGTAAGTAAACTAAATATAACTAAGGATTAAATTATAATAACTAGTATTAAGTTATAATAGTAAGGTTTATTAAATTACTTAATAGTTAATATATAGGTTTATAGTCTAAGTATACTAAATATTATCTAATTATTCTCTATTAAACCTTATAGCTAGTATTAGTTTAGGTAGAGTTTAGTAAGGGGTATTATAAAATTCTTTTAGTAGGGAGGTTACTTAGTTACTTATAAAGGTGTAGCTATTTACTTTTATATTAAGAAGCGCTTAAAGTTAAATACTATATCTATTAAAAGCTATAGTTAACTTTATCTCTAGGGGGTTACCCCTAATAAGATTTTATAAATTAATTAAACGTATAGATAACCTTAAATTATCTTTTATATTAGTTTTTAGTAAGAAGTTAGAATTTACTAGGGAACTTAATTTTTTAGCTCCTCTTTATCTTTAGCCTTAGTAACGTTCTTTATACGTTACTATAGGTTAATCTTATTAATAGAGGTCTTAGGCTTATAGGGGTAGTTATAGGCTATATAGTTAGTAGCTTTATATCTAAAGTAAGTATTAAAATTATAGAGGCGTTAGTATAAAGCAGTAGGGATCTTATCCTAGTTATTAGTTTGTCTACTAGTAGGAATAAGAAATAATAAGTAGATTAGTAGGTTAACTAGATAGATAGGTAGAAAGATAGGTGTAGTTTTATTATACTTAGAAGGCATAGAGAGTTAGAATCCCTTAAGGGGATCTTCTCTCTATATATAATTAACTAACTTCTATATTTCTAGTAATATATATATTAACCTTTATATTATATTATACTTATTATATTATTATATAGATTTGAAACCTTATATTGTTACAGCCTGTTTTAAGCTAGTTACAGCCTGTTACACTACTTGTTACAGCTTGTTACAGCTTAATACGGTCTGTTTAATATCTAGTTTTATTTAAGTAGATATTTCTATTTTTAGTACCCTAGAGTAAATCTAGTTACTATTTATATATATCTACTTTTTATACTTCTTAGAGATAAAGTACTAGAGAGTAAATCTCTATAGGTCTATATCTAGAAGTAAAGGTTATATTAGATATCTTATATATATATATATAGTAGTGTTACTTTAAGTTTATAAATAAGGTTAAATTTAAGGTTAAATTTAAGGTTATAATTATATAAGCTTTTATATCTAAGTGTAGGGGTAGACTTAGTAGCGTTTAAAGTACTAGGTAATACTAAGGTGTTAGTAGTATAACTAGTAGTAGACCTATAGGCCCTACTAAACTAGTTAGTAGTAGTAGCAGCTAGGGGCTCTATAGTATAAGTAATCTTAATAGTATATTTAGTATACTACTAGAAATTAATCTAGGCGTCTATATACTATTAGATTAGGTTATTATAAAGGGTAATAAGGAGTTTATTATAGAAGCGTTACTTTTACTATAACTAGAGGAGACTAAAGACCTAGGCGTATTTAGTAAATTTAGATCTCTTCTAGTAAATATTCTTAAAAGACACTATAAAGGTATTAAGTTTACTTTTAGCCTTATCTACCTTAGTAAGGCTAGTGTATATAAATATAAGTTCTATAATAATATCTTTAGTAGTAGTAATAGTAAGGTTTACTTTACTAATTAGAAGAAACACTAGGTTTATAGCGTCTTTACTAATATAGCTATAAACATACTTAAAGTAATAGTCCTAACTTTACTAAAGGTAATTCTTTAGGTAATAAGTAATATATAGTATCTAATAGTTAAACTTTAGATTTTTTTTATCTTTACTGTTTTTAATTTTAGTAAAAATAGAGATCTCTAGTAGTTTAGCTTTACTTTTATAATAGTAAGTATTTCTACTAGCTAATAAGAAGGCAGGAGAGTTCTCTTATAAGAACTAAGTTTCTAGGTAAGTAATTTATTATTTAAGGACCTTATTTATAAAGCTACTAGTCTTACTAAGGGTGTTATAATTCTTAAGAACCTTAATTTAATTTATTAAAGTAAAATTAGTAGTATAGGCTTTATAAAGCTTTTACTTTAAGGTATTAACTATATCTCCTTACTTTTTTTAGACTATAAAAACGTCTTATATATAGATATAAAGTTATTTAAAATTATTAGCGTAGTAGCTTATAATAAAGCTTAATTTAAGCTTTAAGTTCTACTAAGTATAACATAAGGTAAGTTAGTAGTATACTTACTTATATAAATTAGCTAGATTTTCCTTATATAAGGCCTTAAATATTTTCTTAGTAAACTTTTTTTTTTCTTATTACTAAATAGGGACTAGTTAGTAACCTAAATAGGTATAAGTAGGCTATTAATATAGCGCTATAGGTATTAACTATAAGTAGCTTAGTTAGTGTTAGTAAGGAATTATTTAGGGCTTAATTCTTAGAGGTAGAGTATAAGGTTAAATTCTTATAGGTCTTTAGCTTTATTATCTAGAAGGAGGGTGCTTTATTAATTAGAGGTAAGGTTTTAAGTAGGGGTTATTAATTTAGTGTTAAATACTAAAGGGCTGCCTCTACTAGTAGATTAGGCTATCTTAGTAATAGGGGGAAAGTGTAAAGAAGTTTAGAGGTAGCGTTAGCTAACATATAACTAAGCCTAGAATAAAGTAGTAAGGGGGAGAGGCTAAGCTAAGGTCTAGTAAGGAAAAAAAAGGTTTAAGATATTATGCTTTTATCTCTAGAGAAAATAAGGGTAACCTTTAAATAGTATTATAGTAGTAATACTATATTAGTTAGATATATAACTATATTTCTTATTATAAGAATTTAAAAGTAAAAAAGAAAAAAATCTACCTTAGGGGGCTAGTAGTCTTACTAGCTATTATATAGCTATTTATTTTATTTATAAGTTACCTAATAGTTCTTATAACTAGGGGTTCTTATCCCCTGCCCTTTAGTAGGTCTTTTAGTGCTATAGGGTTTACTAGCTACTAAGGCATAAGTGCACTAACTACTAAGGCTTAGGGCCTTAGCTACTAAGGCGTAGTGTATAGACTACTGTAGCTATAGCGCACTTACTACTAAGGCGTAGTGCCTACTAGCTACTAAACCACACTATAACCCTATTCCTGTCTGTATATCCCCTACGTGACCCCTCTGGCTGTGACATAATAAGAGATATCTATACCTTAGATCCTAGCTGCTTTTTCTAGATATACTATAATTCTAAAGAGCCTATTACTAGCCTATTAGCCCCCCTACCCTCTATAATACTAGTCTTATTTATATTCTATTAGTTAAATAAATAAATTCCCTAAATAGTAGAGATATTAGTTAGATAATAAAAGAATTCTTTAATAACCTTAGAAAAATAGGCTGCCTATTAGCAGGCATCTATTAATCTAGAGCCCTTAGTTCTAATAAATAGATTTTACTACTAAAATTAGGCTATCTACCTCTTGCTAAGAGGAGGATGCTTATTACTTATTATACGTTCTACTAGGCCCTTTACTTATTAATAATTAAGGGACCTGCCTAAAGAATCTTAAAGGGATATATAGGCAGCTAATATCTCCTCCTGGCTTAGGGATAGTCGCTATAGATAGGCATAAGCAGTGCCCTTTAATTACCTACTGTAAAGCTAGTGTTAAAGAGTATAGTATAAGATCCCCTATTTACAAGCTGCCTAGCGGACAGAGTAACTACTATTAATATCTAGAAGTGCCTGTTAGAGCTAATCTTTAGTATATTACTTTATAATAGGTTAAGGAAGGTATACTAAAAATTTAAAGCGATTTAGATAACTATAGGAAATGTTATAATAGTTTAAAGAAAGTAGTAATGTTAATAAAGGAGGAGAGTTTAGGTGGTGCAAAAGCGGGGGTGGTGCAGAAGCGGGGTATTTGAGTTATTATATGTATTTACCCTTTAAAGAGGGCTAATGGGTATAAGCAGCACTGGAAGAGAGGAATAAAAACATAATTAATATAAGGACAACTACTGCTGCATACGTACTTCAAGAAAAATTATAGTAAAGCATGTACTGCACTATAGGGATTCTAAAGCTTCGTGTTTTACTTACCAACTAGATCTAGAGAGTGATCCGTAAGTAAATATACTTACGGATAGGTAAGAAACAGGCTTATTCTAAAGTGTTTTCAGGATGCATTTGCCTGCATAAGCATCGTATGACCGATTTCCTGTATCTTCTGCCCAAAGTGGCATGGTCTCAAGATAGTTGAAGAGAGTTTCCACCATGACTATGGAATATGTTTGATGCAAAGCCGGCATCATGAAAAGTCGCGGGTGGCATTTCTTGGCTTGTCTTCCGAGGATATGGTCCTCGACTGTCTACTGAGAGTCGAGGGGGTGTATACTTTGATGATTATAGCTACGGCGCCGATACGAAAGGAGACCAAACTCAATCTTCATACATGGGGATCATACTCTTTCACCAGGACACGGCTTGGAGCCGACGATGCGGAGACATAGATGGTAGAACTACCCGATCCCTGCCAAATCCAATCATTCCGCCAACCTGGGTTCATCCGCGGCAATTCATGTGTCTTTGCCCCTCCCCCAGGTGCCGAGCCAGTCCTGAAACCCGCCAATTAGACGGGCAGTTGTCTATTGGAGTCTGGAGAGCAACTCTATCAAAAGACCCTGAAGGATCCACGAGGAGATTCGTCCTGTTTCTCCCTCGTGCATGACCTGCCGAAACCTTCGAGGTCAAGAGTAAGCTTTGGCCATCATCAACGAGCTGCATGTGTTAAAAACCACCATCTTGTTGTTATTCTTCATCTGCCTGGAGCACAAAGGCACTATGCTCTCTCCCACGCCCCTTGACAGCCTCGAGAGCTCCGGCCCTCGGTCTCAGTCCCATGATCCGTCGCACTCACACACCCAAACCCCTCGGTACTTCGGAGCAGCCACGACGACGCCCGCAACCTCTTCGGGCTGGGGTCTCGGCGACCCGGCGGCCCCCTTGCATCATCTGTCCTCCGAGGCCTCGACCTCGCCGGCCGAGTCTTGGCGGCTCGACGAGTTCGTCACCGACCCCGGCTACCTGGCCTACCAGGAGGAGCTGAGATGCCTGATATTCAACACGGCCCAGACGGCCGCCCCGACGAGGGAGGGCACGCCCGAGGCGGCGGTTTACGGCGCCTTCGCGGCGGGGGGCTTCGCGGCCTCCGGGACCATCTCAAGCGACGAGGGAACCGCGCGGCGGCAGGCCGGTCAGATTCTAGGGACCGGCCGGAGGCTCGAGTATCTGAAGAATTACATAGGCGAGGTTGCGCCATGGGTAAGCAAGCAGCCCCGCATGTGAGCTACACCTATACTCCCTATGCCATGAACCTCACCCGCAGACCAGCTCGACATGTTTGACAGCGACCGCGCCTTCGGCATCCAAGTGCCCGTCCTCGCGCGCAGCTCGTGCGCGTCGTCGTGGGAGGCACCGCTCGGCAGCCACTTGGACGGCATGAGGAGGGTGTTCTCGGTTCCGTCTGATATGAGGGCGCCGCAGAGGTCTGGAGCACACACAAACACACACATACACTAGTCAGCTCTTCCACCAGTCCAGGACGCCCGACATGCACGCCAACTACGCCGTCTACCTGTGCGCCAAGGTCTGCGAGCTCGTGGCCGACAGGGCGCGGCACTTTGAGCTCGACGACGCCGCCGACGGCTGCGACCCCGACGAGCTGGCCGGCCGCTGGATCCGGCTCTGGGAGGACCTCCAGGCGTGGACGAGAGACCGGCCGCCCGAGCTGCTCCCCGTGCAGAGCGTGCAGAGCATCCCGTTGCCGCAGATCCTCTTCCTGCACTGGGCGGCCATCTCGTCGAACCAGCTGTACCACACGGCCTGCACGCTCCTCCTGGGGTCCATGCCCAGGCCGCTCAGCCCGAAGCAGCTGCCGGGCGTCACCGGCTCCGTCGTCTGGCACGCCAAGTGCATCTGCGGCATATCCCTCGCGAACCCGCACCAGGGCTGCTTGAACAACGCCATCCAGCCTCTGTGGGTTGTCGGCAGGCTCCTCAGTCACAGGTCGGAGCACGCCCTCCTCGTGAGACTCATCCGCAGCATCGAGACCGTCACCGGATGGGGCACGTGTTGGAGGATCGACGACTTGGAGGCCGCCTGGGGGTACAAAGTATGCAAAGAGCTGAAGAACCGCTAGCACCGCCGGGATATTTACATCGGGCACCGTTTCCAACTATTCGTAATCCGTTGCCTAAACAGCGCGTACATCGACCGCACCGCATCTCTCTACATCTACATCAGCCCCCAGTCCTCGCGGGCCTTGGCCGAGAATCCATCGACGCGCCATCCCGTCAGCGCCCTGACGCGCTCGAAACACCTCAAGATGGCCCTCTGCTGCGGCTCGTACGTCATCCTCTGCGCGGCAAGGTACAGCGACGCGACCAGGCAGAGGTCCCAGCTGTCCCGCCGGTCGTTGTTCAGCGCGATGCCGCACACGCTCTGGGCGTGCCACAGCGGCGACGACAACGGCGCGGCCGACGACTTCTTGGCCGCCGCCGCCGCCGCCGCCGTCTGCAGCAGCAGCACGCGCGGCTTGTTCTGCAGCAGCAGGGGCATGGCGGTGTGGTACAGCGGGTTCGCGAAGACGGCGGCGCCGTTGGTGAACAGGACGACAGGGAACAGGCTCTCCTCGCCGTCCATCTCGGCCATGGGCCGGAACTCCTGGGCCCGGTTGGCGTACCACGCGCCCAGGGCGTCGCTGAGCATCGTCCAGCGGTGGACGGGGGTCGGGGGGGACGCCCGGGCCGACGGCGGTGTGCGCGCGGGAGCCGCCGCCGCCTGCGCAGAAGTTGACGACCTGGGAGCAGAGGAGGAGCGGCTCGACAGTGCATCGGAACATGGTCTCGGCGATCGAGGAGGAATCCCACGGCTGGGACATGGCGTCGTAGTGTAGCCGCTCCGGGACGGAGATCGGCGCGCCGGTCACGAGTGCCGCCGCAAGCTCTGGGTTGGTTGCGCGTCAGCTCCGGGACGGACCTGTGGCCTTCTCGAGTCGATTTAGAGAATTGCAAGTTTTTCTTCTTCTTACCGAGCCGTATCAATACAGACAGGATTGCGATAGCCTTTGGAGTCACTTCAGCGAGCGCCACACTCCAGAAGTTGTCGTCCATCATCCCATGCAGATCCTGCCAGGCGTCCGGGACGCTCGAGGTGAACTGGCATGCAGTCCAAAGAGCCAAATGTACCAGACCGCCGTCGCCCATGCTGACGCCGCCTTCTGCATGCATTGGCCTCGCGCGAGCAAGGGACTTGAGGTGTTCGACATGGCCGAACGGTGTGCCGCTCACGTCCGCCTGTTGCGCGACGGCTGCCACGGCCAAAAGTGAAATGGAAAACACCCTCGTTCTCGATCGCGAGTCGGGGCACATGGAGGCCGAACGTCTGGCTCATGTCGCACAAGTCGAGCTTTGTCCGACGTCAGTAAAACCCAGCGCGGGACGGACAGCCCGGCATAAACGGAAACCTATCCATGGCGCAACCTGGTATGTAAAGTGGCGTAACAGCTGCAGCAGTCGGTCTGGAGAAACGCTGGGCGCCGTCAGAGGGAGCGTCGCCGCGGGTGCCCTCCTCTCCTCGGCCGAGTTGGGCGACGCGGATATCAACTCCTGCGGACTCACTCGGAACCCATCGCCGGCCGCGGCGTACGACCCGGAGCCGCGGCTCGGCAGCGACTCCAAGTCTGCGCCCTCGTTCCCCAGAGAAAGTAAAGCGTTGAGCGCGGTCTCGTATGCCGCGTCGCTGTTCGCCGACCCGTCTGGCGGCTTGTCCGTAATGTGGAAGTTGCCCGCTGGCGATGCGAGGCTCTCATGGCCGATGCTCTGGGATCGCCATTGCGTGCGCGGCGACGGGTGGTGAAAGGGTGGTGCCAAATGTGGCTCTAGGGGCTGGAGTTGCAGAACGGGAGCGTCCAAGAGTTGAGGGTCGTTTTGAAAGGTTGAGACTGGTGGCGCCGGTGTCTGCGAGGGCGATATACAGACGGGAATGTCGGTTGAGTTTGTTGTAATGGATGGGTTTGGAGGGTCTTGGGACACAGGGGAGGGTGGTGATGAAGGTTCTGCGGTTTGATTCGGGCATGTCGGGTTAACAAACTGTATGCATATGTGAGCCGTGAGGCTTTAACATGACAACGCGGCCAAGTCGCCAACCTGTAGCTTGAAGTATCTCGGCGGCGTCGATGCATCACCCGCGTCCGACGTCGACGATACGGTCAACGCATTCTTGTCCAAGAACGTCAGTCGAGAGCCGTACTGGCACTCAAAGCCCCCATCGATGCAGCGCTGACACCTCGGCTTTCTCTCGTCGCCTGCGTTATCGTGAAAAAGCACATGCCGTCAGCTTTCAAGTGTCACCGAAACATGGTTAGCCTACGGGGAGTGGTGGTGTTTCTTCGTCGTTGAAAACATATACGGCGGCCCGGATTATCACCAAAACACCAAAAGGGATGTAGAAAGAGGCTCACATTTGCGCCGCCGGATCCGACACTTTAAACACCCAGTCCGTGTTCTCTGGCGCCGCTGTCTCGGAGGCCTGGTTCCGGTTTCAGTCCCAGCACCGCTTCCCAATACTGAGTCCGTGTCGTCCGCCATCGTTCCCGTTCGGCTCGTATCGTCGAATCTATCAACCGATGCTTGCATTGGCCCCCATGACCAGAGGGAAGCAGATGATATTGTCCGATTGGGAAGGCAGAAGAGCCCCCCCCCCAAACAAATGCTGGGGGAACACGCGGAGAAGTGCGGATTAGACGAGCATGGACCGGGGGGTTGGGGGGGTTCTCACCCAGCCCAGGTGAAGCTCTGTGGAAGCATAAATTGTGGATAGATGTCAGGGGCAACATGGAACGATTTGGAGTTCATTCATGAGATCCGACGGTCGAATTGACTCGAGTATAGCCGGTCAACGTCTGGAACTGGCATCGTCTCATAACGACATGCTCCCAATCCTGCACTATTCCATCACACAAGACAATGAATCCCATTCCATCCATCTATCCAGCACGGACTAACCATAGTCACCCCTCACGGAACCCTGTCGAGCACGAGTCAACAGGGGCTGCTAGGCGCGGGGTTGGCGAAACATGGGCGACATATATCCTGACGTCAAGAACCATTGGGACTCGAAACACGTTGTCGTTCTTGGCCGGTATTTATTCATGAATCAAGCAACTCCGTCGTTTTCTCTGCAACAAATTTCCTTCATACAATACCATATCCAATTCTCTTTGAGGAGAAATTCAAAATGGGCAAGGAAACTATTACCCTCGCTTCCGGCCGTGAAATGCCTCTCGTGGGCTTCGGCTTGTGGAAAGTTCCCCGCGAGTCCTGCGCCGATACCGTCTACAACGTCAGTACCATACTCCCGTAGCTCCGAACGAAGCCGTCCCGGACACGAGTGGCACTCACTGACGCCCCTTCTTTCACACAAGGCTATCAAGACCGGTTACCGCCTCTTTGACGGCGCCTACGACTATCAGAACGAGAAGGAGGCCGGAGAGGGCGTCCGCCGCGCCATCGCCGACGGCCTTGTGAAGCGTGAGGACATCTTCATCACCACCAAGCTGTGGAACAACTACCACCGCAAGGAGCACGCCATTCCCACGGCCAAGAAGCAGAACGAGACCTGGGGCCTGGGCTACATCGACCTGTTCCTCATCCACTTCCCCGTTGCCCTCAAGTACATTGACCCTGCCGTCAACGAGTACCCTGTAAGCCTGCCACCTCCCTCGCCGTCCGTCCTACATGGACAACCGAGAGACAAAAACGTTAAACTCACACGAGAGAAAAAAAAAATTTAGTGTTGGTGGATGGACAAGGACCAGAAGATTGTCGAGCCAGACAGCGTCCCCATCCGCGAGACCTGGGAGTGCTTGGAGACGCTCGTCGACGAGGGCATCGCCAAGTCCATCGGCGTCTCCAACTTCCAGGCCCAGTCCCTCTACGACATCCAGTCCTACGCCCGGCACCCCATCTCGTCGCTGCAGATCGAGCACCACCCCTACCTCGTGCAGCCCGACCTCGTGGCCATGGCCCAGGAGCACAAGATCGCCGTCACCGCCTACTCCTCCTTCGGGCCCCAGTCCTTCCTCGAGATCTCCAACAAGCGCGCCCTCGACGCCAAGGGCCTCTTCGAAGTCGACCCCGTCAAGAAGGCCGCCGACAAGCACGGCGTCACGCCGGCCCAGGTCCTTCTCCGCTGGGCCACCCAGCGCGGCGTCGCCGTCATCCCCAAGAGCAACAGCCAGAACCGCCTGAAGCAGAACCTCGAGGTCAACGGCTTCGACTTGACCCCCGAGGAGATCGAGTCCATATCCGACCTCGACCTCGGCCTGCGCTTCAACGACCCCGGTTTCTACCTGCCCCAGCGCCCTCTGCGCATCTTCGCCTAAGCGCGACCCATCATAGGGATATGATAGATGGCTGGTGTTGATGGGTGGATTCCGGGAACAGGAGCACAGGATAGCATGGATGGCATGGATGGTTTACAGAAGCTGCCATGAATTGATCAACTATATTTCGACTGCAATTGACTTCCCCCCCTTCTTTTGTGAGGTGTCCATCGCCTGTGCTCTGCCAGTACCGTCCGAAAGGCTGCATGTGCTCGTCGGCCACGTGTATCAAACCAAAGTTGCAAACCTCTTTCCAAATCCCACGTGTTTCATTGATCCTCGGAACCGAGTCCTGGAAGCATGTCGGCCTATCGAAAGCCGAAGCAGAACCTCCGTCATCCGAACGAACTAGCAAAAGCAAGCATCATCCCTAATACACCGACTAATGACTAAACGTGGTGCGTGGTGCTTAAGATTTCCTAATCGGGCGGTCGACAAAAGAAAAACAAAACACGCATTTCTCATGGGATTCGATGAGGAAGTCCTACGCGCTCGGCATATTGCCCAGACTCCCCAAGAGCGGCGGCGGTCTGCTGTATTGTTGCCAGTCAAAGAGGGGATCGCATATTGGGGAAAATGTTAACGTGACGAGACGGTGCGCATGAGACATGAGGGGGAAGCTTTTCGCGCAATCTGACCGGCTAGATGCCATTCCCTTCTCTCACATCTTTCTTGTGACGGACCTTGTTCTGTCTGTCATGTTGTAGCTCAACGATCCTACTGCACAGATCCCTTACCGATTGGTATACATCGATTATAGACAATTGCTGAAATTCTCATAGACTTGACTGGAGTGACCCTCCTCCTCCATCTCCCTTGGACCGTTAGCTCGCAAACATCAAGGCCCTCAACATGGTCGCCACAGCCATAGCACCCGAGACGCTCGTCAATGGTGCCGCGAAAGCATCTGCACGGCCGCCTTCGCCGTCCGTCGCGGCGGCACGGTCATTGTGATTGGTGTAGGGCGCGAGATCATGAACAACCTGCCCTTCATGCACATCTCTCTCGCCGAGGTGAGGAAAATGGCTCCCGGTTCCTATACCAGCTCGGAACGGAGACGCGGTGTGCTGACGTGTTGCGACAACGACAGATAAAGCTCGAGTTCATCAACAGGTACCGTGACACGTGGCCCGCCGGCATCGCTTGCCTCAACAGCGGCATTCTAGACCTCAAGAGCCTCATCTCGCACACGTTTCCTCTCGAGAAGGCAGTTGACGCCCTTACACTCGCCTCGGACTACAGGAACGGCAGCATCAAAGTGCAGATTGTGGATGAGATTGACTCCCCCATCTTCTGAGGAACAACAGCGGCAAAGTCATCATTAAATGGTTGAGGGAGTGAGGCTTTGCAGAATGGGCAGTGGAAAGCATAAGATAATTATTGTTCATAGCATTGAAGCATTGATGATCATTTGAAAGAACCGCGAACATGGATATAGATTACACTCTGTTTATTACTGATGAACATAATCGCTCTAGACCCTCTCAAGTTGAGGAATGACTCCAAACTTCACTCCTAGTTCTACAGCCATGGCCTGGGGTGTTTCGAACGCGCAAGTGTATGTTATCTTGGTGCGTGTGATTTATCACGATATACACTACATAAGAGGGGCGAGGAGCTGAGTTCATCGCTTCAGTACAATATCATTGACATTAGTTCATTGTGCTGTGTAAAGTATTCCGTCCCTGCCTTCCGGCCCCTTTTGAGATAGGGTTTCGATGAAGTATGAGAGACGATGCCATTCGTGCTTGTAAACTGGAGATGGCCTCCCGTAGCCCAGCTACTCTCTCTAAACTGTACAGCTCCTTCCTCCTAGTTGTTGAGCCAAAAGGATCCATTGACCACACGAAGTAGCGTTGGAAACCAGTCTTGTCTTCAAGTCAACCTGAAGAATATCGTTGCCGGTGAACGAAACAGGTGTTCCTGCAGGAACGGTTCTACAAAAGGGTCCCACCATTAACATGACCATACCTTTACATGCATCCGGCACTAGACTCACGAGTTGTAGCCGGTCGACACGGCATCATACTGCCAGTTGAGAGCGATCTGGTCACACGTGTGGATGAAAAAGGTTGTGGCCTGCGTCACGTTCGTCGTAAGGTTGGACGGTGTCTTGATGGCTTCCCAGAAGGCGTCGATTCCGTAGGTAGGCGGACCAAAGGTTTCGTCGGCGCTGACGAGATCCTGTGAAACAATCGTGGCCACCTCCTCCTTGCCGGAAACGCCACCGGTCGAGAAGATGCTGAGCCACCGATTGGCGATATCCAACGCTTCGTCACGGCAAAGACATGACGGTTCTTCCCAAAGAGACAAGGCGGAGCCTCGTGATATCGCGCCAAGGGTAGCGACAGCTACTGATATCAGGGCGAGATAACGCATGATGATGCTGGTAGTAGGTTCGAGATGACATGGCGGGCACATCCGAGAGGGATCGCTGCCCTTTTGAACAGATTACCGAGACAAAACCTTCCACGTCGGATGGTGTGGCTCCCGAAGCCCAGCCAAATATTTGATCCAGATTGTGTATAATTCCAAAACGAGTATGGAGGCACATGGGTTTTCGGGTCGTGCCACAAGGGGCGTCAGGCTCAGGAATGTGGCCGTCAACTAAGGCCGCATATAGCAGGTTACACGGGCAGATGTGCTTTCGTGACATGGGAAAACTAAATTTGATGTCTCGCAAGGTAGCACCCGAACAGTCTACATAAACATATGCAACCTTGTGGAGTACACACTTTTGGGATATCGCAGGTGGTGACGCCTATATACCGACAACCCTCGGAGTGTGTATTGGTTAGGATCTCGTGTGGCCGAATTCCACTGTCGCATTGGCTAATAAGAGTCAACTTTTGCCCTAGAGGAATTCCTGGCGGCGCTCAGGAAATGTGACTGGATAGTTGAAGCGGTGGTAGTTGCAAACAAGGTCAAGGCATTCAACCTCTCATCAAAGGTCTATCCATTGGAAACTCGGTTCGCGATAACTCACCAGCGATAGTTTGCTGACAAGGATGAGATCTTCTGGCACTCGGTTTCGTGGGTGTCAGCAACGTCACTACTCGAACGACGTGACAGAATGTCGTATCAACTTTCTCACCCATTTGCTTTCGTAGTTAAATCGATGTGAAATCACCCCGTGCTTACCAATCATCGCCCGACTATTTCCTTGTTTTGGCTGCAGCATATGTTCTGCTCATGTAAGCGCTTCTCCCGTCCCTGTGGTTTTGTAGCAAGATCTGCCCGCCGTTCGGTCCCAAGATTAGACCGCAGTCCGAAAGTCCACCACAAGTCGGACGGGAATTAGTTTCCGGATCATGAGCGGTCCATCGTGAATCAGCACGGAACCGGGTGAGGAAACCAACTACAAATATACCCAAAGCCGGCCCGTAAAGCCGAAGAGAAGAACATCATTTCTTTGCACCAAACCCAGAATGGCGCCCAAGACCGTCCTCGTCACCGGCGCGAACGGCTACATCGGCAACGCCGTTGCGCGCGCCTTCGTGGCCGCTGGATGGACGACGTATGGCCTCGTCAGGTCCCTTTCGGCCGCTACGGCGCTCGCCCAGGAGGAGATTGTCCCCGTCGTCGGCGCCATCGACGACCACGCCTCCCACGCCGATATCCGGAGCCACCTACCGTCGACCCTCGACGCCATCGTCTCGGTCACGGAGAACATTCTCGACTATGTGCCCCACTACCAAAACACTGTCCAGATGCTCCGGACTCTGGGAGAGGCTAGCTCGGCAGCCGGCCTGCGACCGCTCGTCATCTTCACCTCCGGTTGTAAGGACTACGGCGTAGGCCCGCATTACCACGGAGCGCCAGGCCTGACTCCGCACACGGAGGAATCGCCCATAAACACGATCCCTCTCCTGAAGGACCGAGCGACGTACGCCGTGAGGGTCTTTGATCACTCCGACGTGTTTGCTCCGGTTCTCGTGAGGCCGACCAACGTCTACGGTCGCAGCTCGAGCTTTTACAAGGCCTTCTTCGACGTCGCGGCCAAGACCGGCGCCGAGGGGAAGCCGCTCCTGTTGCCGGCTGCGCCGAGCACCATCGTCCACGCCCTTCATGTCGACGACTGCGCGGAAGCATACGTTGCCATTGCCGCACATCCGAACAGGGCAGAGGTCGAGGGGCAGGCCTTCAACATCTCAGCCCAGCGGTATGAGACGGTCGATGAGGTGGCGCGCGCTCTGGCTGTCGAGTACGGGATTCAGGGTGGCCTGCAATACGCCGAGCCCTCTTCTCTGAAGGAGGGAGAGGACCCGTGGCCGCCAGGGATCATCAGCTTCCCCCAGTGGACCGACTCGACAAAACTCACGAGACTGACCGGATGGAAACACCGCCGCCCGCTGTTTCACGAGTCGATCCACGTGTACCGTTTGGCATACGAGGCAAGCAGAGCGGCGGGGCATGATAACATCCGCAGGGTCGACGGGTACCTGCAGGCCTGGACAAAACCAGATTCGGCCTAATGACTTTAGCATATGAGAAAAAGAGAGAGAAAAGAAGCAAAAGGCATAGGACGACGATTTCGATGGAAAAGTTGCAACCCTGCTCTGATGTACAATATAGCAGACAGAGCACAGTTGCCAGCCATTATAATAAGCAATGACTTTCGACGAGTCTATAACAACAGAGCCATGTTTTGTAGCTAAACATGCGATATTGGATTGCTGATGCAGCTGCGTGAACTGGGTGCGCCATCACTAGAGCACTGAGATGCTCAGGCTCTGGTTCATTGGTGTTTGACACCAATTCCGATGCACTTCGTCGGAGCTTGTAATCAGAAGAGGTAAGCAATCTACCTGAGAACGTCATCGCGTCTCTCGTGGGGGGGGCATGAAGGGGTTCGTGCATTCCTGAGAGCCAGAATCCACTAAATCTCACGTTGGAAGTGAGAAAGCCTTGATAGCACCTAGTAAATCGAACGCCGCGAAGAGATGGAGATGGACTGTGAGAGATGGCGTGGTCGACGTTGGCAACTGGACGGCGACGAACCCGTCACAGTTGGATCGAGGCTCAATAAGGAAGAAGCTCCGCCCCCACCTCCCGGACATACGACGCTGTGTTCCCCAGTTCGGCCGACCAGGAGGCTCGGCTGGGACATGGCTCCGGGCGTTCGCGGGGCGCGGGTTGCGTCTCTCTCGCCACTCTCTCTCGTACCGAGGACCCATGTTACTGTATTGAGAACCGGGAGATCCTTGGTAACAGACCTACCGGTAGGGATATTTCTCACAGCTGCGTGGATAGTAAGAGTGTTCCCCGGGAGCCAGGGAATCATGCTCTCGGCTCGGGATGTGCGGAGCAAGTGCTCCTGCAAGGGGCCTCCCCGTTTACCCCTACCAGGAGCGACGCAGGCATTGAAGAAACGAACGCCGAGCGAGGAGTGAAGCAGAAACCTCCGAAGTTCAGCCATGACCGATATGTGTGTGTGTCTTGGCGGGTCGGCGCTTGGGAACAAGATGGTGGGAGGGCCCGAAAGGGAGAAACGGCAGTTCGTGACGAGCACTAGGTAGCGGCGCAATGCCGACCGCTGACCCATGACACCCTCCTCTGACGCGAATCCCAAGGGCCAAGAGTGACGACGTAATGTCGACGCGGCGTCCTGCTAGCGATGGCTTCGAGTGTATCTTACGTGGTTGAAGGGACAAGGTGGCAGGCCTTGAGCGTCGATCATTCATGATGGTTTCCTTGGGGGTTTCCGTTCATGTTTTCAACATCTTCACATGTGCGAAGGGGGGGGGGGACACGCCCGTAGGCATTTTGGCATCTTTACGCTGTCGAAAGCCCACCTGCCCACCTATGCGGGCGAGCGGCCGCATCCATCGGATCATTGCCGAGCAAATGCAATTTCTTTTCGTCTCATGTTTGCACCGTTTCGACTCGGCGTTGTCATTGACTAAGCGGCTCCTTGAGCCTCCTGTCTTTACGCTTGCTGCCGAAGAGGTGTGAGGGATGTGGGCGCGAGGGTGTGGGTGTGTGAGAGTAAGTGAGAGCAAGTGGGAGAAAATGGTGTACTCCGTATCGGCGTTTAGATTCTCAAAGGCCTGACGATCATAGTCCACGCACAGACTTTATATTAGCAAGCCACGGCAAGCCGTTGCACACCAAGGAGGGTTACATCTTGGCTTCATAAGCCAGTTGTCCGTCACACATGGATAACTCACTCTACACATCTTTGACCGAGCCGTTGGTATGGAAGAATCTGCACCAAGGCTAAAGGCCCAAGACCAAGAGAACGACCTGACGGCCACATGAAACACGGGCAAATCTCCCATACGGGGGACCCCCTACGGCTCCCTATGCCCACATCGGCCCCACCAACTTGGCAAGTCGGAAACACAGCTTCACGCCATCTCATGATCTTTGGTGGAGAGAGGGACGGCGACGATCCAATCGACATGATCTTCCTCAAGATCGCCGCCCACCCTGCAAGGCCCTGTCTTCCCGAAGGGGTATCGCCTGTTGGAGCCTCAAACGGTCGCGGAACATCGTCAGACATCTTGGCGGCAAGCGGACATCGCGGACGCCCAGCGTCGACGTATAGACCGACCTGCGTCCACGTCGTCGGTCGTTGTCTTGGCGCTTCTTTGCGTGTCCTGGGTCGTGATGAGGCTTCATGAGGGCCACAATGCTTCCACCCCTGCTGTGGGCATCTTATCATGCATGGCAAAGTTCCCATAGAGCCCCGTCCAAGAGTCTTGTTGGGTCTTGGCTTTCCGCGTTTTATTTTCCAAATCCTCCGTCATCTAGTGTCTACCTCCTAGCTCCCAATCCTAATATAACTCAAAATTTAGACTCACCTGCGGTCTGAATGAAGTTTTGTCTCCATCTTCATACCTTCCCTTACTTCCCTTCAAACAAGAATCCTCCCAGCGAGGAACAGCCGTCTTTTCTCGTCAAGACAGGCTATTACAGTCATTTACGCATTTTACGCCATTTTAATCACGTTTAGGGATAGTCACTGTTGATCAGTGCTCGTTTTCTGTCATTCTCTCGGATTACTCTTCGACTCGGACTCACTTTCCTCTCTTTATTCAATATGAGATTCAACTCAGCCTGGGCCTTGATGGCTGCTGCCACGGTCAGCGCGATGCCCCAGCCCGTCAAGAGAGACCCTTTCCCTGCAGATGGAACCGTCGTGGGAGGCGTTTCGCATCGTCCTTTCAGGAGTAAGTTCTCGAGCCCCCTCAGCAGTATACTCAGCCGTTGGCCGCCATCACTAACAACAAGCATCAGTCAGGAGACAGGCAGCAGCCCCAGCAACCCCTCAAGGCAACCAAATCATCCCGGTGGTAGTCGGCGGTCCGCAGGACACTTTCGTCCCGAACTTGATTCAGGCCCAGGTCGGCGATATCGTGCAGTTCCAGTTCAGCAACGGCAACCATACCGTGACACAGAGCGCTGAGGGAGCCGCATGCCAGCCTCTGCAGGCGACAAACGCCGGCGCCATTCACAGCGGCCACATCCCGTACCAGGACGGCCAGGCCATGGTCGGGACCTTTAACATGCCCGTCACCAGCACCGCGCCGATGTTCCTGTACTGCGCCACGGGACCGCATTGTCAAGAAGGCCAGGTCATGGTGATCAACCCGTAAGTAGCGAGAGCACTTGAACTTGTGAGGTCCACGAGAGCTTACAAAGCCATAGCACATCCGCGACCCAAGTCGTTCAGTACTCCAAGCTATCGGCGGCTTCACAGAAGAGCGTTGACGGAACCACGGTTGCCGGTGGCGCCGTTGGGCAGATCCCCCTAGCGAACGCGGCCTTTGTCCCGGCACCGGCGAAAGCGGGCGGCGCCGGTGGTGGCGCGCCTCCTGCCGCTGCCCCTGCCGCACCAGCAGCTCCCGCCGAATCTGCCACCCCCGCCGAATCCGCCGCTCCAGCCGCTCCCGCCGAATCCGCCGCTCCCGCTGCCAACCCTGCCCAAGATCCTGCTGCTGCTCCCGCCGCCCCTGCGGCGTAGTGGTCCTCCGGAATTCTCTGCTTGGGCCCAGGAAGCTCGACCGCGATGCAAGGCACGCCGTAGTTCGACCAAAAACGACATTATTCTAACCAAAGGTTCGATTCGTCACAGTGGCGGAGCCCTGTGAGCGGACGGGTCGCGTCATCATAGCGGACGAACCGGGAGCATGATTCACATGTGTGTAATAACAGTGTTATGTATATACTGCTCTCTTCATCCGGTTTGCACCGTTATTTGGTGAGGTCGTACTAGTTGAAACAAGGCCTGCCCCTTGCCGCTGGGCATTGGATTAGACGATTAGAAAAGAATACAATCAAAAATCAACGACGCTAGATGCGGAACAATCGCTTGTTCCCTCGTAATACGGTTACATGTGTTGGAATTTGGGTTATTAGATAACTTTTGATATCACGTCTATCTCAATGTGCTCTGATACCGCCCTCCAGTAGCCTCTGATGGTTGCCAAACTCAGAGTTCGACGACAACCTTGGTACCACTGACTCCTTTGAAGAGCACATCAACCGCTTTATTTAGTCCCCTGAGTCCACCATCAATCTTTTGTGATGGCAATGCTACGATCTTGTCATTGGCTATGGCCTGTGAGAAGTAGGTTCCGTAAGCCCACTTGAGCAATTCCGCGTTCTCCTTCTTGCTAAGCGGCTGGCTCCATGGGGCAAACTCCACACTCACGCCCTCGGGAATGCTCGAAGCGTCGGCAGGCGGCAGCAACGCGTGTATCTTTCCGCCCCCCTGTGCCGCGACAGCCTGAGGAACAACGTCGAATGTTGGTTTCAGAGAGATTGAGTCCACGACGTAGTCGTAGGGCCCCTGCGAAACAAGTTCTTTCACAATCGCATCTTGAGGTTGGGTATGATCGACCACGTGGACGGCACCCAGCTTCGCAACTAGGTCCTTGTGCGGCGGGGAAGTCGTCGTGACGACTTGGTACCCGGCCTGTGTGAGGTACTGGGTCGCGAAGCTACCGAAGCTGGAAGTCCCGCCGTAGACCAGAATCTTCTTGCCGCTCAACGAGGCTTGGCCGAAAGGGTCGGGCCTCTCGAGACCGAGGTGCTCGTTGAACAGTCCGACGACGGTGGGGAAGTTGCCAATCAGGCCGACGGGGATGTGGAGGTCGACACTCGCCGGGATCTTGCTCACCGTCGCCTCGCGGGAGACGACGTATTCTTGAAAGACGCCGTATTTGAGTCCCGAGACGCCGCCGGTCTTGGTCGCTGCGACCTTGTCGCCGACTTTGAAGCTGGTCACATCGCTGCCGACAGCCGCGACCGTGCCTCCGTAGCTGGTTCCGGGGATGGCGGGGTATTGGGAAGGAAAGAGGGCGAGCTTGGTCTGCTTCGCGTCGATTGGAACGAGTGCGATCAGCTCGTTCTTGATTAGGAGCTCGTCAGGGCCGAGTTGTGGGGTTTCGACGTTTTGAACTTCTAGCAGAGCTTTGGGCTCGGGTTGAACGGCGGCCAAATGAGACATTGTGTAGTCTACTAGGAAGTGGGCTTGGCGTCTTTGTGAAATACACTTCTGGGGGCTCTATAGATGTATGAGGGGGTTCCTGTGCATCGACTGTCAATCAAGTCAAGGTGTTGAGATTCAATATAACGTTGAGCAAGTCGTTGGCAATATGAAAGTGGATATTTAATCACAATCTAGATACTTAATGGAAATTCTGCTTACTAGATATATATCAAGAAGCAATGCTGACTCCAAGGTTAACATCCGCCAAATTTGTCAGCCTGATTGCGATGCGGAAGCAGTTGAAGACGCAATGCTGATGGTGCGCGATTGGTCAGCAAAATTGTAATTAGCAATAAACTCCGCCGGAATGCCCGACAGTGGTGTGATTATCCGTGTGCATAACGCCAGCTACCAAATGTCACATATTCGATTTGGCTGCTTGGGATTGGATTTCCAAGAACCGCACGGTTTATGAAGACGATGGAACCTTGCGGATCGCGAGTTAGACTAAGCGCGAACGATGTCTATAGACGACATCAGAGATGATTAACATTACCTTGACGACAGCGAGACCACAGGTTTGCACTCCCTTCCACCGAAATGCCAAACTTCTCATATCAGAGGAACTTCTGACCAACGGTTCCCTCCAAGAATTCTGATACCCCAGCGCTGTTATTATTTTTGGACCTTCAAGCATACGACTCGCAAGCTGGATGTATAGCTTTTCGGGGTTGGTATTTCCCATACCCAATGTTCCGTGGCTGGTGTATTATCTTAGTAGATCGGCCGCGTGACTACTGAACAACACATTCAAACACTTGTTCTCCTGAGCCTCGAACGTGACTTCTTGTCCCATACCCGACCGTTTCATGCAGAGGTAGAAGCTGGCAAGGCATGCGCAACACGTAAACGTTTGATACGCCCGCTCTTCTCTTAGGCGCGATATAACAACCAGACTACATATAGTCTCTGGTGATTGACGAAAACTTGGCGTCTGATGAGATCTTGACTTTTTCGTGACTTCGGAGACTGCTCCCGAGATCACGGACTTGATGGACTGTGTGTTCAAGTTGTCAAACGGGCTATAGTGCATAGTACAGATTACGCGAGACGACAATGGGTGAATGTGACAGAATTGATTTTTGTCTGCGTAAAATGTCTTGTATCTGAAGTTTAGATTTGAAATGTTGCTCTGCCCATTCTTACTGCTGTTGCTATTCTGGTTCTAGCCATTGTGGCAACTCTCTCCGATATGATCACATTTCGACCATATTCCGGCATTGATGCGGTAGTCAAATTATGGAATAATTATGTACCTATATTTGAGAAGATAACTAAGTGGAAAGAAATCAATGTAAGCAGAATGGTCTTTCCCCATGGATAGCATGATGCGATGGACGAAGTTGTAAAGGTGCCGCGTGCCTTTACAACTGACTTCTGTATGCGGGTCAGTAGCTTTGACAAAGGAGTCATCATTTGACTTTGAATATCGCTCCAAGACGAAGCAACGCGCTTTTACACGGCCAAATCTATCAGGAGACTTCCCGACACAAACTTTGCGGGGTTTTATTGTAAACCCGAGTGCTGACTGGCAACTGTATGCTCTGATTTGCGACCACAAGGGGCAATTACAGACAGCTTTGGAACGTCGACTCTCTAGTGGTAATAAGGAGAATGAAACAAGGAGGTGCTCAAGGGTATCCTATCATGAATGACGATTTAGAACTAGTTAACACACATGTTGCATGTATGCCGCTAAACAAATATTCGGGGCCACAAACAATGAAACATGCTCGAGCTTTGTATGCCAATACGGCCGAATGCGCCCGAGATGGTGGTGACAGTATGCAAATTAAAAATGACAACGCCGAGATTGATGGCTTGCAACAGTATCATAGCAAGCGTGGGGGGCTAATGCAGCTAGCTACCCCTTGCCTGTCTGGTTGGAAATATATTAGTCTCGGCCAGCCCGAATAAGCAAACACGCCTCAAGTTTGCAGAAGACGCCGCCGGCAGATCCTCGACAGCCTGCAGACTCGGGTCGGAGCGACGAAGCCAAGCAGTGAGAAAACATGTTGACTGCGGCAAGCTTTATATTACCTGCCGCATATCAAAATGAAGGCATGGGGTTTCGGAGGTCCGCCAATCGGGTTGAGCTCAACGACTTACCCCCCCGGACACACACGTGCAGCTTCTTCATCTCTGTTTCCAGGTATGTCAATACTGCAGTCTCTCGGGTATGGGTCACTTTGTTTCTGATTGATCTGAGTGGGCGTACGAGAATTACCCGGCCGCGTGGACTTTTTTGCAATTGACGTCTACACCGGGCATGCTTCTTTCTAACGATATGTACAAGGATGCAAGGCTCTATGCGATACTCTCTTCTCCCCCCCATGTCCATTAACAGGAGAAATTAGGCCTACTCTTCCTCGGCAACGTGGGAAACCAAGCTGAGATGGTTCAAGTCGGCCCGAGCCTGCTTCTTGATCCAAGCGGCGTTGCGCCTCTTGAACATCATCTTCGGCTGGGCGGTGTTCAGGCAGACATCAACCTTCATACAGGTCCCTCCCATGCAGCAGCTCTGCTTGATGCAGACCTCGCCGTTGCCGCAGTCGTTGGTGGTGTCGCAGCTGGAATCGCATTCGTTAGGTTGTGCGCATACCTTGCGTCCCTCCACGGTCTCGAAGCACACGCAACCCGACTCTCCCGAGCAGACGGGGATCCTGGCGGCGCCGCAGCTCCAGGTGTCACTGCAGGAAACGGCGGGGCGGGTGACGTTGACGTAGGGCGCCAGGGTCGTGGTCGCGACGAAGGACACGGTCGAGGTTACGGTGGCCGCCGGGGCGGTGGTCGTGGCGGCGGTGGCCCCGAAGCACGAGCAGGCAGAGCTGTAGCGGGCCGCGTCCGGGCAGGCGGAGGCGTACTGGGGGATGGTCTTCGTGGAGACGCCGGTCTCCACGACCTGACGCTGGAAGAGGGTCTTGGTGGAGTTGGCCGTGATGGTCTGGATGCTGGACTCGGTGACGAAGACGGTACTGGAGACGGGGTAAGCCGGGGTGTACCACTAAAGAACCTGGGAAGGAGACGACTTACGAGGCTATCGGAGTCTCTGTGACGGCGAGGTATGAGCTGCACTCGGCCATGCGAAGCTCCATGGTGGCAGTACCGAAACGGGTGGCCCTTACGGCGCGGAGGCAGTTGTCTGCATTGCAGCCCGCGGCGCGAGCCTTCACAACGGGAACTTCAACAACATCATTTTCGATGAGGGCGGCCGACGCTGCGGCAGCGAAGAAGGCAACAGACGAGAACTTCATGTTGAAAGGGGGTGACTGTGCGATTGTATGCGTTACAAAGAGTGTGATGCCCGTAGTCAACAACCAAGAAGACCTTGGGGAAAGGTAAAAGAATGAAGAATGAAGGATGAAGATCTTGCTGTGCGTTGCCTTGTAGATTCTCCTCTAACTTTTGGATAGACGAGAGACCGAGGCGCTCTTATATCTTCTTGAGCAAAACCCCCCTTGCTTTCAGGATCCCTCTCCCTCCACTGGGCCGCAAAACATCAGAGACAGAAAACTAATACATCATGCAAGGGCTGAGAGCAACCAGCCTGGTAGCGCCTCAGCAACCTCGGAGGAAAAGCAAACAGCGCTCAAATCCTGACGTCGTAGTCCAGGGCAGCGCGAAGTCTCGCGGTCACTGAGCGCCTCTAGGAACCCCCGGCCATGTAAGGTGGTGGCTAGAGCAAGCAAGACATGGTACATACACGGAAAGAAAAAAAACATCTGAGCCCTCCCTTCATCAATAGCGGACGGAACAGAGTTGGGAAAAGGTGGGAACCCGTCCGTAGCTCGGGACGGTAAACCGCATTATGGTAAGATTGGCTGGGCCTCCTCTCCCCCCCAACCGGGGTGGCATCCGGAAGGACGCTGTTTGTCTGGGCCTAAGAACATGGGAGCCGCAGGGCAAGGAGCCTCACTTCACTCGGGCACAAACAGGTAAGTTGTCGTCGTCTCCTGTTGTTGGTCGTCTGCCGGCCATCCGCCGCCAGCGACCTGCAGTAGCGCGGCGCATCGTTGTCCGAAGGATCGATTAGGAGGGCTGCTTGTGCTTGTGCTATGCACCTCGAAATGAAAAGCCAAATTGTCCGTGGGAGGACAAGCTTGTCTTACTATCGCGTTCCCGCGCAACCACACAATGCCATTGTTCGAAGGATGTCCGAGGTTCACTGCGAAACGGGCGGTGGCTCAACAGTTTGCACTTTGAAAGATTCAAACACATGGCCGAAATTTGCCGAATCGGCTCTGCAGGCTCTCTAGCAACCCCTCGGTAGAACTGATCGATGTCACGCTCAAAGCTTGCCTCTGGTAGGCCGAAAAGATGTCTCTCAGGCTGACTATTCTCGGTCCAATTTTGGTCTTATGCAATGTTATTCGAAATATCCGCCGATCTCGATTCTGACCCTGTAATAAATCAGGCCGCTGATCTCCGCCCCGTTGTCTCTACAAACTCTATCCGTAGAGTCGTATAATATCTGAAAGACATTTAAACCTTACAGGGTGATCTGCATCGTGCAATCACCGACTTGCGGCAATCATGGACACGCGCATCCCGGGCAAACAAGCCATTGCAGCAATTAATCGAGATGGGTCTCCGCGAAAGCACATGACAAATAGCAATCGCAGTAGAGGCCATCTATGACGGGGGTGAGGGCGATCAGCAACGTGATAAGGACGGCTGGCTTACACTAGACGTGTGCCGGCCGGGGCTTTCCCTTCGCAGCCCATGTTAGTTTTGCCAAGGCTGTCCTAACTCTGAGCAAAGCCCACGGAAAATGGCCAGGGGCAGTCACAGTGAGCCGTTGTGGCTTGTTTTAGCGCGGCTAGCGAGCACACTGGGATGCTGAAACCACGAAGGGGAGTCCTTGAGAGTGCTTGGTGCCATGCGATGAACAAGCGCTGCCTTGAATCCAGAAGCCGAACTTTCGTACGGTCCGAGCGGGCAGACACGAATGACGGGAAAGGAGGCGCTATTGGATAGCTCCACCTCCCCATCGCAATGGGGAGCAGTGAGCGATTGACTGATCCGTCCATACGAGTTTAGCACGGTCAAAGCAGAAACAGACAGTCAAAAGAAAAGAATCCCATTGTACGATGATGTCAGACTCTTCCGTTGTGCCATGTCTTGGAATCCGTTCAAGAAGCAAGCCAGAGGCATAGCCTGACTTTATAACTTGTTTATTTCAAGGCTAAATCTTGTCCAGCATTAGGAAACGCAGCGGCTGAATCGTTTGGGGCTGTCACAGGCAAGCGTTTAGAGCGCTGCGGATCTGAAACTCCAGGTTATGATAGATATACCTGGGTGCAAGTATTTGCTGGTAAGTTATGTTGGAATAAGTTGGAGGAGGAGAGCAACGCACACTTGCCGGTAGCCACCCTGGCTAGCTGACCTTGCGGCCTAGTATTGTAGAAAGGGGGGATATATTGAATAAAGACGTGGGTTCATATCAGCAAGCTAGTGAACATATTTGAGACCGAATAGACGGTAATAATGGAATCAACATGCCCTAGTGTGTTCATATATGTGATCCCTCGAAAGTCAAGACATTCAGTGAAGTAAAAAAGCCACTGCACAGGGCTATCGTCAGAGCTAGAGCACACAGCCGGGTATATAAGAATAGGATCAAGATTCCCATGGAAGGAGAGATGTAAAGGAAAGGTCTTATATATAGGCCAGAATTGCGAGTAGCGAATGAAACGCCATGCAACATGGCACATGATAATCCACCTGATAGGTACTGTAAGAAAATATAGTGACAATTACGCTATACTATTAGAGATATGCATGTTGGAGAGAAACGCAGGAGAGCGTAAACGTGCTTCTCGTAAGGACGTATGTATGAAGAGGATATCCGAGCAATCATATTGATCAAAGAGCTAATGCGGCTACGCACACATCTTGTCAACTATTTTTGTGTGATGAACCGCAGCGTCTAATCATTCCAGAGAGAACTAGTTGATTGCTCTAAGTCTAAGTCTAGGGAGAAAATCGGGTAGAAATAGTCTTCCCAATGTGGGCCTATCGGTTGATATGCCTCATCTGTGGCGCCTACCACCGGTACCAGCCACACGAAGCTACCCCAGCTTCACGACACTTTGCCATAATATACCTAACTTTCTTTGGAAGAAAATGGTGACATGATTATTCTTGTTGCAATGCTGTCAGAGCTCAGCCACGGAAACTTCTGCGTCGAGTACTCACGAGATAAAGGCGACCCTGCAGTTGACGTCAACTTCGACCCAAACGACGGAGTCTTGATATCAATAGCTTCCAAAATTTTAAGACCAAGACTATGCAGCAGTATTATATCAAACGTTGTTAGTACTGCTGTGTTTTCAAGCTTCGCATTGATGAAAGGCATTGTTGCGAGATCCGACTTGGAACTTCACAGCTGATCAACGTCACAGTTGGCTAAATACAACACTCGTCTACGAAAACAGTAATGTTTACTGTCGAGCAGGGATTCGGGTATTTCAATAATTACCAGCACCATTGAAAACAGATATTAGGCGTAAAGAAGAAGAAAAAGAAGAGTGGACAAGAAGCTTCCTAGAAACAACGATCATCAGCAAATCTGCCCGGACACCTGTACTGAACATGAGAATCAAGCATCATTTTTCACTACGGGTTCTGTCCGGGTCTTTCCGATTGACGTTTTCATCTTAGTTTATCAAATCCTCGCCATTTATTCGAATATCGTGGTAGTGAAGTGGTAGTAACGTGTTGGTAAATTGCTCTAAACATTGCTAATGTTGTTCCACCCCGTTCTGTAGTATTACATGCAACATTTTCACCAATCGGACTATCATGTGATGAGCAGCCATTTCTACGCCTCAACTTGGCCAGAACGCGAATCGAAGATGGGCCCGCCAACGTCGCTATTCATCCAGTTTGGACGGCTTCCCCTCCTCGCTCTTGATCTTCTCCTGCCGGAAGGCCTTTCTCAGCTCGCATTTCCCGATGCTCTTGCCGCCGGCCTTGCACTCATCGCACACCTTGCCGTGCTTGACGAGCAAGATATGGAGCCCGTACTTGTCCTCGTCCGGGATCCTGACGTCGAGGTGCGCATGGGTCTCGTCTCGGGAGGCGCTCTTGGGACGCCAGCCCAGGAGGCCGGTGATCCTCCAGACGTGGGTGTCTACGGCGAAGGATTCCCTCTGCAGGCAGAAGAGGAGGACGCAGCTGGCCGTCTTTGGGCCGACGCCCTGGAAGCTGATGAGCTCCTGCATGGCTTCTTCGTTGGTGGCGTTGAAGAGGTGGTCGAGCGTGTAGGAACCGTACTTCTCCTTGACCTGGTTCAGGATGCCGATGATGACCTTGCTCTTGACCTGGCTCAGACCGCCACACTTGATGGCCTCTTGCAGCTTGTGGACGCCGCCCTCGACAATCTTTTCCCACTCGTCGCTGCCGCCGTAGACAGCATCCATGCTCCGCTTGGCGCGGGTGGAGTTGGTGTCGCTGGTGTTCTGGCTCAGGATCGTCCTCACGAGGGCGTCGAGAACGGAGGGCGAGTCGCCGCAGCCGGCACGGGTCGCCGAGGCCTTGACCTCGGCGGGCCTTTCCCGTTTGCCGTGCAGCTCAGCCAGAATCCGGTGGGCCAGGCGACACTCGTCCGGGGTCGGGTGAGCAAAGTCAGGAAAGGGCGATTTGTCGGCGTATTGCGAGTACGCCTTGAGTTTCTTAGACTTCAGGTCGGCGGGCGACTTTGCCAGCTTTTTTGCCTTGGCGTCCGGGCTCTCCGACTTGATGGCCTCCTTTTTGAGGGGTGTCAACGGAGGGACGTTGGCAAAGGCCGGTGATGGCGCATCATCATCGTCTTCCGTCTTGACCTTTTTTGAGGGGGTCGCCGTTGAGGTCCTGGTAGCGGCGCGTTTCCTTTTCTCTGGCTGAGGAATGCCTCCCTTGCCAGACGGATCCCGCTTCACGGCCCTGGTCGAGCCTTTTGCAGATTTGGTGCCATGATTGACGGGATGCGCAACGTCCTCGGTTGGCTTGGTGGCGGCTGTTGAGGCGGCCAACCGGGCGCTCGACCGGGTTGCTCTCGACATGAGAATGGCAATGGATCGCATCCAACAACAACGTCACACGATATGAGTCCTGAGTGATACAGTCAGTAATATAATTTAGTCGGGATAGATTTAAGTGTTGCAGCTTGGTAGGTCGATACACGACTGCAAGTAACTCGGATCCAGGGGCTACAGCACAGAAATGGCAATGCGGGAAAAAAAAAAAGGGTACATTGTCGACCTCATCAGCGGCTCCCAGTGGTGATGTCAACGAGTCGGGCCCATCCCGGAGTACGCTAGACCATAATCAGACTAGTAAAGATGAGCACCTGGCCCGTGCAGTTCGCTTAGAACGCACGGACCACATGATGGTGGAAAAGAGACGAACAGAAGAAGGGAAGGCACGATGTCGAGGAAGGAGGAGGGGGAACCCAGCGCACCGGGAAGGATGCAAGGGAAGAATGAAGGAAGGAACAAAGGAGGGAACGAGGGAAGGAACGAAGGAAGGAACGCAACAAATAAAGAATGAGGGAAGAAGGCGTCCAAAGAAAAGGACCGGAGAGATCACGTGGGGTTCCTCTCTCACCAAGACATCGATATCGTACTGGATATCAGCAGCAACAACCTCAACCCCCCATGTGGAAGCCTCGTTCAATCCTCCATTACCATCAGTCAAACCAACCCCTCAATCCAACATTCTTCATCCAGCGCCGTCGCTGCACCTCTCGACCGTGCCAAGCAACTGTATCCTGTCAGTGCAAACAAGAAAGAGAGAAGACGTCCTCCTGTGCTTTTTCGCTGCTGCTGCTGTAGTGCTCCCCTCTAATCTATTCGCAGATCACTTATTGCTTTTTCCTCGCCACTTGGCAGTCCACGAAAGACAGCCCCCTGCGACTTGGCGCTGCTCTCTGCATCTTCACTTCGGTCAGAGTTTTCACGGAAATATGCAACCCGGCTTACACCCTTCAAGCCCTTCATTAACCACTCGAGCCACTCGGAAGCCAACAAATCATCTTCGTCCATTCTATTTGTCCATTTGTCTCATCCTCCCCAACCCGTTCCAACAACAATCTTATACCGGCGCCAAAACGCATACACGCATCCAGACAGAGCATTTCGGGAATTCAACCTTGACATGACCTGGAGCTCCTTTTCGTCCACGCACAGTGATGCCCTTCCCCGCATCCGGCATCCATGGACCCCTGCTTCGTGCATCGAGGTGTGTTGTGCCCCCCCATACATTACGGACGTACCTAGCTCAGACCAGGAGGGTGTGTGGCAGGGATCTGCAACCTCGCTGTGTTCGGTGCAAGGATATCGTATCTCATGTCGGTTGCTTACGAACTTAGGACCTTTGAACGTTGCAACAACAGCGCATCTGTGTGGCGTCGCCACCGATGTTAGCTTCGCGATGCACCAGCTACGGCAGCTTTGTGCCTCGATACGCCGCCCACGGCCTTAGCCAGGAGAAACGGAAAAGCCCGCCAGCTACCAGTCTAATCTGAGCGAGCCGGTCGCCTTGGCTCCAGGCTTCTGCTAGATTGTGTCTGACAGCAACGCGAACCAACGCGATGAACTATGCATATTTGCCGCACTGGATCGGGGTCTCAACCCACTCGTCGGCCATCTGCAAATCAAATGCAAATTCACAAAGACATCCATTAAAGATATGGGCGGTACACTTTCCCAGTCAAACTTGCCCGGGTCCACTCCCCTCGTTGCTATTTTTGCTGTGGTGTCCTGCAAGCCTCAGGTGAACGACACCGGTAGGCTATCTCATCCAACTCCTCTCCATCGATTGGGCAGGGTCCAGACAGCCATTCAGATGTGCATCTTACTTCCCCTGGCGACCCTGCGATGCAACCTCCAATGTCTTGGTAATGCGGATCCCACCTTGGAGAGTCGCCAAGCCTTGAAAGCGGCTTAGAACGCAAGCCCAATCACTGTTAGCCTATTTTCGTCGCCGTGGATCGCATGCCACGCTTCCGGCTCAAAACGCTCCTTTTCCCTCATGATCATCCTGATTACGCTCTTCTCCGATCCCCGCCTCTGCTCCATCGCATTGTCACAGCTTTAACGCCAAAGACAAACCCATCACGTACTTGACCACCGACCGAAAGACCACGATCCCTCTTCCAAACTCTCGGGTGCGCCGAATAGAAATGCCATGAGGGACCAAAGCGCCATGACCAGCGACAAGTCATTGAACGTTGGTCAACTGGAGGCCGTGAACAGTATAGCCAGTACCAACACGAACCTGGAAATAAACCACTATAGCCACCTTACCCTTTGGCAGTCCATCAAGAAGTGGCGTCGCGTCGTCCTTTACTGCATCGGGATGACTTCTGCCATCCTCATGTACGGTTATGACTATGTCATAATCGGTACCACATCAGCCATGCCCAGCTTCCAGTAGGTTTCTCCTTTTCTTATGCGCCTTTCCGTCAGCCTTGGCACCGGCGTGTTTGGCTAACCAAACACCACTTCCAAGGCAAGATTTCGGTCAGCGCCTGAACGACAAATGGATCTTGCCATCCCTCTGGCTTGGTCTCTGGAATTTCGTGAGCCCGGGTTGCTCCATGATCGGTTCTCTGATCGGGGGCGTCTTCCAGGACAGATACGGCCGCCGGGCGTCACTCGCTATTGGTTCATTCTTGTCGGCGATTGGTGTAGCTGTCTGCTTCATCTCGAACCTGTCCCCCGATATTCACACCCGGCGCGGCGTCTTTCTTGCAGGCAAAGGGTTCCAGGGCGGGGCTATCGGCATGGTGATGACCACCTCCCAGACGTACATGTCGGAGATTCTGCCGCCCAACCTCCGGGGACCACTCCTGGCTTTTTTCCCCATCTTTACCTTGCTCGGACAGCTCACGGGGGCCGCCGTCATCTTTGCGTGCATGAACATGGAAAACGGTTACACCATTTGCTTTGCCTCGCAGTGGCCGTTCTCCGCTCTCCCGTTGTTGATGGCGTTCCTCATCCCCGAGAGCCCAACATATCTTCTTCGCAGGAACCAGGACGCCAAGGCCCGTAAGGCTCAGGCGAAGCTGGACGTACCAGGCGCAGACCCCGAGGATGCCCTCCACGCCATTCGCCGGAATATTCAACATGAGAGGCAGCAGAACAATGCCACGTACGTCGACTCCTTCCGAGGCGTCAACCTTCGGCGGACGTTGATCATCATGTTCGCCAATTCGCTACCAAACATATTCGGTCTCACCTTGCTCGCCAAATCCAGTTACTTCATGCAGATGGTCGGCATGAAGGCCAGCTTGAGCGTTATTGTCCTCATACTCGGTATTGTCTGTGGACTTGTTGCAAACATCGTCAGCATCTGGGTTCTCTCAAGGATAGGACGCAGGCGCCTTATCATCACAACCCTGTCGCTTCTAACCCTCGTGTGGACCGCCGTTGGCATCGCCGGATGCTTCTCAGGCCCTGTGACCGTATGGTGAGTCGTTGACCGTGCTTTTCTTTTACTTTTCTTTTTTTGCCAGCCGAGCAGACACTAACGCCCAATCTTAGGTACACTGCTATATCATTGATAGCGGTCGTCATCGTAGCAGGGCTGGGAGTGTGGCCCGCGTCGCACGCCGTGGGCGCCGAGACCTCAGCACTCCATCTGCGCTCCAAGGCCCAAGGGATTGGCTGGTTCACTGCCGGTGCGAACAATGCCATCTTCGGTTTTGTTCTTCCGTACATGTTCAACCCCGACAAGGGCAACCTTAAAGCCAAGACCGGTTTCGTGTTTGCCGGACTATGTGCTCTCGGGCTTGTGGTATCCTTCTTCTTCGTGCCAGAGATGAAGGGACGAACGCCGGCTGAAATTGATCGCATGTTTGAGTCGAGGCTACCGGCAAGGCAGTTCCAACACTGGACCAACCCATCCACGAGGTCGGAAGAGAAAGATGCGGCTAGAGCCGAGTCCTCTGTTGTGTAATGCTTCTGCCATTTTTTCCAGCTTATCTTGAACCAAGCTTTCTACACTTCTTCCGTCCCTTGGGCCAAGCCACGACCAGGCTGCGACTCAGGCCACTCGCCTCAACCCGCAGTGAAACTTGTCTGCACTGCATGCACAGCCCAGGCGTTGGTTTCCGTCCGATGATAATATCTGTTCGCCAAGATTTGCGCACAAGCCCACGAACGGGTTGTCTGTGTCCATCAGCTCACGTTCAACGGCGGCCATGCAATGTGTTTCCATTTGATACGATAGGAATCGACCAACTGCTTTCTCGGGAAAGAAACCAATTTGTTTATCGTATCCACTTTGCAAAGGCTGCCGCAGTCTTACAAGAGATCGGTGACGATTCAAGGGCATCGTTGCAATACATACCGCTTCTGACAGCGTCAAAACTGTACTGCTGTCCGCGCGCCCGAACATGGGACCGACATCGTACGTATCAAAGTCTAACGGCGCATGTTGACGCGCGCTCAAACCCACTTTCCGCCAGACAATGTTCAACATCTGCAAGATCCCCTCGCTCAAACAATCAGAGTGGCTGTGTGTTGTTTCCGAAATCCCATGACGTGAGACAACACAACACGGTCAGGGACACACTGTCAGCAAACAGGTGGGTGAATCACCATAAGCGGCCATGACTCAAAGGAGTCTTGCCTCGACTTACGGAGGAAGGCAAGATTTGGCGGCTCGTCAAGCCCATCGGCTTACGCCGTCTTCTCTTTCTTGACGGTCAGCCGCTGCTTGCTTAACGTGGCCTTGTATATGAGCGGCGCATAGGGTTCGCGGTCGACTCTGCGCATCAGCCATGCTTTGAAGGGCACTTCTTCCGTCCAGCAAGGACCCGGCAACAGTCTGCCGCTCGCACCAGTCACCCACGAGTCAAAGCGAGAGCGACACGGAACATATGCCACCAGGCCTACATCTTACCGGAAACCTATGCGAATGAGATGTTCCAAGAACGTCTGTTCGAGCTCCCGGGCCGATCGTCTGATGTCGAAGTAAACCAGAAAAGCTCTCGAGTCCAGCCCGGCTTTCCGACAAGACACAATCGCACCCAAGACGGCGACCATTTGCTCGCCGTGGACCGATATGCACGAAAGGCGCACGCTCGGGTCCCGTCTGTCGGGTAGGATATGATATGTTCTACCCGACCCAGCTCAACCCAAGACCGCATCAGACTGGCCAGGACCAAAATGGTACGTTTAGACCAAGCCTGTCACTCTGGGGGGAAGACGGCTAATTCATAGCCAAGGTCAGAGACGAGTCTCATGACAATATCATGCTTGTGTCAAGACTGCCAGGGATCTATAGAACAGCCACACAAATATGCGGCCAGCACTAGCTGGCCCCGTAATGCCATTTCCAACGGTGTTATCTATGGGATTATCAGCTTGATCCGATCCGAACCACTAGGCCGCATTTTTGATTTCTTACTACCAACAAACATGGGCGGTCAGAGTCCGTGACCTTGGTCCCAAGATATCAAACCATCGGCTCTCACATACTAGAACAAGCGGCACGAACTCTGCACGCCCACACCAACACTCTTCCCTTTCTCCTCCCACCTTTCCCAAAACGCGTTTCAAGCGGCGGATACCAATGAAACAAGCGAGAAACCAGCGGCGAGGACAATCAGACACACCCCCGAGCCGCACTGCGATCAGGGTGACAGCCGGGAAACGGTGGGCAGCGGCTCGTTCCCCGAGTACCCGACTGCCCTTTTTCTCTTTCTGTTTGGTCTAAACTTGTGACACCCAGCGAGGCCAGGGATAGCTGCAGCTTGCGGCGAGTGCGTGTAAGCCGTCATGTAACTTGAAAACGTTAGAGTTCTGTTTACATACGCCAGCGCACGGCGAACCGGGCCTTGGACGTGAGTTCGCCACATGTAGATGAGAGGAGAAGCTCTGACAGAGAGGCATGTGCTGCGATGAAGATACTAAAGAAGGGCGAGCACCTGTAACCGGGCCATTCCCCTTCTTTTCTCTTTCCCTTTCATCTTGCCGGTTCTTCCAATACCATTTTGCAAGTACAGCAACTTTCTTGAAAGCAGCAAGCGATCAAGATGGCTTACCGCGAACAGCATGAGAGAGTCGTCTCAACGTCGTCGTACTCGTCGACGGCGTACGACCCGGCGTCGTATACAGCCATCAAGGATCCGAAGGAGATAGACCAGCGAGGGGTTTCGGACCCCATGCTGGTGGATGAGTCTAACAGCATCCCCGAATGGAAGGCATCGAAGCACCAAATGGCCATCATCGCGACGCTGTCCATCATGTCCTTTGTCATTGCATTGGACGCCAACGTCATCGTCACGTCTCTGCCGGTGAGTCTTTGGGCGGCTTGGGAGGTATAGTTGAAGAGAGAGGAGGCTGACTGGTGTGTCTCTACAGTCGATCATTCAAGATATCGGTGGAACGTCGACGCAAGCTTTCTGGGTCGGCACCGCGTACTTGATCTCGTGCGCGGTTGCAATGCCTTTCCTGGCATCCCTTAGCGACATCTTTGGGCGCCCCATCATCCTGGTTGGCAGCTTAGCTTTCTTCACCGTCGGAACCATCCTGTGTTGCGTTGCGGACGGCATCGCTCTTCTACTTGTCGGCCGCGTCGTCCAGGGTATTGGTGCTGGAGGCATGTATGTACTCAGCCTCGTGGTCTTCACCGACATCGTGCCCCTCCGCCACCGGCCGAAGCTCTACGGAATCATGTGAGTAGTCGTCCTGCCCGTTGGAAAGTGGACAGTCAACTGACACATAGTCAAGCCAAATGGCGTGGGCCATCGGCTCCCTCGTCGGCCCCATCATCGGCGGTGCCATCGCCGAGCATACGACGTGGAGATGGATTTTTTACATCAACTTCCCCATCTGCGGCTACTCGCTCATTTCCATCCCGGCATTGTTGACCCTGAAGCCCCCCACGGCGACGTTCGCCGAGAAGCTCAGGCGCGTCGACTGGATCGGCGGCTTCCTGTTCACCAGCTCCATGGTGACGTTCCTCGTCGGCATCTCCTGGGGCGGCAACGACTTCCCCTGGCGTAGCGCGCAGACATTGGTGCCCGTCTTCATTGGCGCCGCCGGTCTGGCCGCCACGCTGGTGTACGAGGGCTATTACGCCGCCTTCCCGTTCCTGAAGAAGATCCTCTTCACGGACGCCAGCGCCATCACGGTCTACGTTCTCGGCCTTCTGCAGGGTTTCATCGTAAGTCGACGCAAAACCCGACCATCATGGTTCGCTTTAAAGCATGTTTTCTAACAGCCTACCCAGCTCTACGGTCAACTCTACTATATCCCCTTCTACTTCCTCTCCGTGACGCAGTACAGTCCTACCATGGCCGGTGTAGCCATGCTCCCCGTCACCCTTCTCCTCCTCCCAGGATCCATCATCTCGGGAATTCTCGTCTCCCGATTCAACGCCTACCGCTGGTCCATCTGGATCGGCTGGGCCCTTATGTCAGTCGCTTCCGGCCTTCTCATCTCCTGGGACGTCGACACCCCGCTCGCCGTCCACATTGTGACGCTTGCCATCGGGGGTATCGGGCACGGGTTCGTGCTCAACGCGCAGACCTTTGTGACTGGCGCCATCGTCGAGCCGCAGAACTCTGGCCACGCGGCGTCCATGTACCTGTTCCTTCGCATGCTCGGCTGCGCCATCGGCGTCAACGTCGGGTCGACGACGTTCCAGAACGTCATGGGATTGAAGCTTCAGCGGCAGGGCATCGCGCAGGACATTGCGCAGAGGGCCGAGGAGTACCTCGTCGTGCTCAAGACGCTGCCCGACGGCACCTTCAAGGACGCGGTTCTCGAGGCGTACGCGTTCGGCTTCAAGGGCGTGCACGGCGTCTACGTCTCGCTCGCCGTTCTGGCCTTCTTCGGCAGCTTCCTGATCCGCCACTACGACCTGAACAGGGTGCACGAGACGGAACACAAGCTGCAGGACAACCGCGTGTCCAGGCTGTTCGAAAGCCGGAACAACGGCCGCGGCCAGCCCATCCCGTCGTCGCCCGTCGACGGCGGTCCCTGAACGATGTGACAAGTGGTCTGCAAGGCAACGGGCCTTGGTGCATTTGTTTATACTAACCAGTCCGGGGGTGGTCGAAGGACGCATGTTGTGGTACCGGTGAAGAGCGGGTCGTCCCGGGAGATGCCGACAGGCGAAGGGACGGTGGATAAAGAGGGGACCAGCACTTGGCACTAAGCATGGAGTTTGTTGAACTATAGACATAAGTCACTTCGGACGCGCAGGATGGGGCGCTGTGTTTGTTTTCCAAGTTGCGTATCATCTATCATCATACATTCCCTTGCATCTCGTAAAGGCTGGGCGACATTAGGTTGGAATGAATCATGTGGCTTCGATACCGACTCTTGACTCTGCGTGCCTACCGTCCTTCACAAGTGCCACGCATACCTCATCTGCTACCATGTGATGGTTGCCAGTAAACACAGAGGAAACGTCAGAGTTGAATGACTTGACTACCGACCGCATCTACACCTGGTGGTGGTTCTTTTACAGCCTGCGAGTCTGTCGCGGCTGCGGGGGGCGCATGAAGATGAAGAAGCCAGGATCGGCTGATTACCCGAACAGGGTAAGCTTCCGGAGGGGGGGTGCTTTGTCCAGCCAGCGCGCGCCTGACATGCCATTTGGGAGACGGACAGACGCAAGTATCAGTGTCATACAAATAACCGACTCCTCCTCCTCCCATCCCAAAATGAAAAACTCTTATGGCTTTGGTCGAGAGAGGAAACGTCTTCCGAAAGACACGATCGGTAAGTAGAGGCCAACGGAGGTTGTGTGTGTGTGTGTGTGTGTCACTCTTCTCAGACAGTACAGAGAGAGTTTGCATGGCTTTAGTGTCGGGCCAACTTGTAGTTGAGGGATGGAAGAGGATTATATACTTCCCTCCCCTCCAACTTCGTATCCACGTTACAAAAAAGAAAAAAAGAAAAAGAAAAAATACACGACGAGTGTTTTTGTCCATATCCATCAACCGCATTGCAACTTTCCCGTGGCGGAACATGGTGAGAGTGGGTTGATAAGGCCAAGTGCCGGCCAACCCCCGCTCCGAGGTTCGGCGTTCCGTCACGGACGAATCCCTGCCAAATCTCTCGCCCCTCCCCCTCCACCCTCCACTTCCTCGGCGGTCCTCAGTCCCTCCCCCGAGACTCGAGATGAACACGACGGAATCGCAGCAACCGGGCAAAGGCTCTTCGTCCGAATAGAGAGCGCGGTGAACAATCGGGAGGAAAAATCGAATGAATAAGTGAGTAAGAAGGTGATGGGTTCGGAAGGAAACGCGTCACCGAGACGTTCGTCGCTCAGCAGCAGACACGGCGTGAGCCGCGACGCAGCAAAGACCATTTCGGCGTAAGTGTCCGGCATCTCTTCTCTCTTCGCCCTGTGCCCTTCCGCATATGCTCTGTTATCTCTCTCTCTCTCTTGCACATGGCCGTGTTATGTACCTTTCTCGAATGCTAACCCCTAGGTGGGCGGACACACAGATGTCTCACATGCCGGCGGAAAAAGGTCAAGTGCTCGGGCGACGCGCCGTGCACGTACTGCAGCCGGCGCGACCTCGAGTGCAAGTTCCCCGAGCCGGCCAAGAAGCGGGTGTACTCTGTCACGTCGGTCCCCCCCCCCCCCCTCCTCCCCCGTAATCTACTATCGGGCGGTGTTTCTGATATAAATGCCCCCCCCTCATTTTAGTCGGATTCAAGACCTCCAAGAAAGGCTGGCTAGGTATGAGAGCCAAGGTGGCAGCGGCGGCGGCGGCGGCGGCGGCCTCACAACCGCCAATGGTCGGTCATTCATGGTTGGTTTCCCACATGGCCCCTAACATGCCGCTGACACGGGTAAAGAGCGGGAGAATAATGCTATCAAGACATCAACAAGTCAGACGGAGTCGCCCAATCGTCCGCCAACCAGGGCTACAGTGCCGACACCTCCGGATAACGCAACTCAGGTGAACGCTGCTTCCACCCTGCTCGGGCTGGCGCTTGACCAATCCATATCTCCCACACCGAGGAACAACCCATCTAGAAGCAACGCTACTAAAGTCGTCATCGTCGAATCTTCACCGAGGTCCGGTAAGTCCCCTTGACGGATTTTCTTTGACCGTTCGACAGGCTGTCCGTCCTGACGAATATCGCCAGCTATACTGGCCGACTCTTCGCTGAGCTCCAGCCACACCTTTGGATCTAGGCTCCAAACCCTCTTGGAACATCCACGGCTAGGACGCCGAGACCGCGTCAGCCTCCTAACAGACCCAGGATTCGGTACAGCCCTGAAGCCTCGGGATGACGCGCCCCCGCTCCCCTCGGAGGAGGAGGCCCGTAGGCTCTTCGACAGCATGACCTTCTTCATCGGGCACACCCAGCACCACGTCGACACGCGCGAGTTCTCAGACCGCCTTGCCTTCTTCTACTCGAACCTGAGCGATACGTCGCAGACGCAGACGCCGTGGTACCTGGAGATGCTGCTCGTGTTCGCCATCGGCAAGCTCTTCTCGGGGAGCTTCGACGACGACGAGAGGAACGGGCTGCCCGGTTCCACCATGTTCGCGTACGTCCAGTCCAAGCTCCCGAGCCTGAGCGAGCTGTAAGGGCTGGGGAAGCTGGGAATCGAGATTCATGCCCTGGCGGCGGTATATTTGCAAAATGCGAACCGCAAAGAGGAGGCCCACCTTCATGTGAGTCGGCTACACATCGTCCCGGGGCTGTCAATGTTCTCATCTTGGTAGATCAGTTCCGCTCTCCGGCTAGCGACGACGCATGGATATCACCGCAAATCGGGGACAGGCCACCTGTTGCAGTCAGAAAAGGTGCACCTGAACCGGCTGTGGTGGACGGTGTACATGCAAGAGAGGTGGGTCGTGGCCTCGGTGAACCGCGGTTCCCCCCTGCCCTCGCACGAGTAGTCATGTTTGCTGACCTTGTCATGTCAAGACGCCTCGCTGCCGCTACCGGCAACCCCTCGGGTATCCTGGACGAGGCCATCGAGGTCGACATGCCCAAAGACTCGCCGGGCTTTCCGCCGGCTCTTCCTCTGCGAACCAACATCAAGACTGCAAGGGTCACGGGGAGGATCCTGCCGAGTATGCTGGCCCCGATTCAGTCTTGGGTGTTGAGCTTGCTGACACTCGCATTCCCCAGCCATCTATGGACCCGGCACACATCCCGAAGAAACCTTCGTCCCGGACGTGCAAGGCATTGTGCGGTCGCTTTACTGGATCGCGAAGGAGATTCCAAGTGAATCGCCGACCAACACGTTCGACTTGGCGTCCACCGAAGGGGACGTTTCGCTGAGAACGTCGGCATATCTCCATATGATGCTTTACCAAGTGGGTCGACTACAAGCAACTGGGATTGCCAAGACAGCTAATAACGTTGGCAGGCGATTCTTTTGACCATTCGGCCCGTCATGCTTCACGTGTCAAAACTCATCTTCGACCAAGAAAGCGGCGGCGGCGACTTGCAGCTGGGAGCATCGCCGCTGGGACGGCTTAGCCGGACGTGCTCGGAAGCGGCACGTCGGCTGCTGGAGGTATTGATGTCGTTACGAAAGAAGAACATTTTGAGTGAGTCGATGGGAAAGTTCCTGAAGGACGTGGCGCACACGAGATGTTGTAGACTGACTCGGAACCGTCGCAGCAACGTTTGGTTTCTTCGACTTGGACGCCATCTTCTCGGCTGCCTTCATCATGATCCTGACGCTCATCATCGACCCGACGTGCGAGGAGGGCGGGAAGCTGGCGCCTAGACCGGGCCTCTCGGAGGCGCTGGAGATTCTCGACTACCTCGTGGGGCGGGGCAACAACTTTGCGCTGCAAAGGGCGCGGGAGGTGCGGCGGATGCGGGATCACCTGTCGACCTTCTTGGACATACCCAAGAATAGTCCCAGCGAGTTCCGCACGAATCGGCCGGGGATGGCGAGTAAGACTACAGAAGACGGTGAGCGGTCGTTATCGACAACAATATTCTCGGCAACAGGCGACGATGGCGACGAGACTCAGGCCGGTGCGACGACGAGCAGGTCTGTTGACAGGGGGGGGTCTGACGTCGTCTGGACGGGCTAGCCAGCTGGGGTCGAGAAGCCTCCTGGATTCGAGTCTGTGGAACGACATTTCGTATTTGTGGATGCAGCCAGCAGCGGCGGCGGCGGCGGCGGGGGGGCCAAACGACGAAGGGGAGTCGTTGAAGCAGACAGAGGGAATGGCAGAGCTGTTGCCAGAGGACGTGTTTGACTGGAACTCCATCTACCGTGACCAAGACCTGAGCCTGACGGGGCAAGACTTGGGCGATTTCGGCGAGTTGGAGAGACACATACTAGGGTTCAGCGGTTGAATGATGCAGAATGGATTCACGATGTATGAGCCGACATATTGGGTGTGTTCCGGGCCTGCGTCTCTTAGGATATTGATATTGACAAGCAGGTGAGTCTTGCGCTGGAGATAGTCAGCTCGGCTTTATTCGTCTTACATAGACAACCTTGAAATCAGGGGAGGACATGCCACATATGACTCACCCCAAGGCGTTCCCATTCAGCAGACGACTTGGCATCCGTCGATTGGAGATCAGACTGAGTCGTCTTGGTGCCTGGGTTTGGGAGATCAGATTGATTCGTCATCAGTATGAGGAAAAGAAGCAGAAGACAATAGCAAAAGACCAAATAAAGAGATCATATAAAGGGTGGTTCGTATTACAAACCAAGAAGAAGACTGACTTGGTGCTGGCTGATTGGTCGACTGTTGAAGAAGGAGAAATATGGATTGAGAATGCAATGCAGGAAGGAATACGCAGCGGCGTAAAACTGACGATGAACGAACAGAAGTGGGGAGGTGGGTCCACATAGCCCCTCCAAGACCCACTAATATCCCCTTTTAGCGCAGAGGCAGCCATGCACGGGCCTTATTTGAATTAAGCGTAGCCAATCAGAAACAACTATTCTTTGACAGTCTGTCGCTGATTGGTTCCCCAGACAAGGAAGCTGCTGCCTGAGTGCGCCTGCTCTTCCTTTTGCTCTTTGGCGGGGCACCTTCCCCCTGCCACCCGTTCGTACCTGCTTCGTATTCCGCCTCGGAGACTTACACCACGTAGGATGACAAACCGCACCATCTCCCGACATCTACAGATAATCCCAAGATGACGCATATAAGCAAGTCTTATTTTCCCTTCCTGTCATCATTTCCCTCCATCTCTCTCTATCTCCCTTTCTCTATCTCTCTCTGTCTCTCTCTCTCTCTCCCACTCAGAGAGTCTACATATCCATCCACATTGGTTCCTAACCACATCTCAATAACTCATTCCACGCAGGAAACCAACCCATCAAACGACATCATCACACGACATCGTCACACCCACCACCACAATAGCAACAACAACCACTCGACATCTTGTCATCTTCTCGACGAACTCCTGGACCTTGTGAGCCCCGTACTCATTATCCATCATGTCCTTGTACGGCACCCGCCATCACCAGCACGTCTGTGGCTTCTACTACCTCGAGTCGGCAACTACCAATCTATTTCACAGCCCACGCAGATACCTCCCTCCGCTGTCTCAGTCCCTTCATGCCCGCATCATTGCTTCCACTTCACGGACGATCCTGACCCAGACCTTCGCCAACCCGTCTTCCACCGCATCCATCCCAGAGCTTCGCTACAATTTTCCCCTGTACGACGGCGTGTCAGTTGTTGCCTTCACTTGCACCATCAACAAGGACCGTGTTATACGCGGTATTGTGCAGGAGAAGAACACGGCTCGCAAGACGTACGATGACGCCGTCGCCAACGGCCAGACGGCCGCTCTATTCGAGCAACTTCCTGACGCAAGCGATGTCTTCACCACCACCGTCGGCAACGTTCCCGCTGGTGCCCACATCTCTGTCGAGATCGTCTATCTGGGCGAGCTGAAGCATGATGCTGAAGTCGACGGCATCAGGTTCACCATACCCACCTCCATCGCTCCCCGCTTCGGCTCCTACCCCGGCACGCTGCTGGATAAACCCACCAGCGTGTCGACACAGGGCGGAATCAGCATCGTTGTCGACGCTGAGGTGCCGGCTGGAAGCGTCATCAAGTCGATTCAGTCACCCTCCCACCCCATCGCTGTTTCTGTTGGCTCCACCTCCACCATGAGGGCTGACGCCACCCCTTCCCTCCAGTTCGCCTCCGCCACTCTCTCCTTGGGCACCGCACAACTGGACGATGACTTCATCATCCAGGTCATCGCTACAAACACATCCAGCCCCGTCGCCGTCCTCGAGACGCACCCCACCATCTCCCACCAGCAAGCCCTGATGGCCACCTTGGTTCCCAAATTTAAGCTGGCCCCGACCAAGCCTGAGATCGTCTTCATCTGTGACCGTTCCGGCTCCATGCAAGGCAACAAGATTGACGACCTCAAGAATGCCCTCAAGGTTTTCCTCAAGTCTCTCCCCGTCGGCGCCATGTTCAACATCTGCAGCTTCGGCTCTAGTTATTCCTTCTTGTTCGACAAGTCCATGACCTACGACAAAAACACCCTGGAAACCGCCATGAAACACGTCGACACGTTCGATGCCAACTATGGAGGCACCCAATTCCATGGTCCCATCCAGAAGACCTTTGAGCTGCGCCATACCGATCTCGACCTCGAGGTCTTTGTACTCACGGACGGCGAAATCTGGAACGAGGAGCGCCTCTTCACCATGGTCAACGATCACGTCCAAAAGTCCCAAGGTGCCATTCGCCTATTTACCCTAGGTGTCGGCCGGGATGTCAGCCACTCCCTCATTGAGGGCCTTGCACGAGCTGGTAACGGCTTCTCCCAGGCCGTCTCTGAGAACGAGAAGATGTCTGGAAAGGTCGTCCGGATGCTCAAAGGCGCACTCACACCCCACGTGAACGACTACACCCTGGAGGTCAAGTACGACGATGCCGAGTCGGAAACAGAGCCCGAAGATGACTTTGGCATCATCGAACCAGCCACCGCAGCTTCGCCCAAGCCCCTCGACCAGGGTGTAACCGATCTCCCCCAAAAGCCCATCTCGCTGTTTGATAGCAGCGCAGATGACGACGTCGACAAAGAAGACGAGCTGTCACATGCTGATGGAACTGGTGCGGACCGGTACTCTCACGTCCCTGCTGTCAAGCCGCCAAAGTTGCTCCAGTCACCCTTCCAGATCCCGCCCCTATATCCCTTGAGCCGCACGACCGTCTATCTCATCCTCTCTCCCGACAGGGAGCTGAAAGACAAGACGCCACAGTTCCTCATTCTTCGTGGAACGTCACCACAAGGACCCCTGGAGCTCCAGATCCCCATCACGATCCTTCAGGACAAGGCTGAGACCATCCATCAGCTCGCCGCTCGAAAGGCCGTCAAGGAGCTGGAGGAGGGCCGCGGCTGGATCTTCCATGCAAAGGCCAAGGATGGCCAGTCTCTCAAGGATAAGCATCCGGGTCGATTCCCCACCATGGTGGAACGAGAGGCTGTCCGTCTCGGTATCCAGTTCCAGGTTGGTGGCAAGTGGTGCTCTTTCGTTGCCGTTGACAGTGATCCGTCTCGCGCCAGGTCCACGGAGGATGAGCTGTGCGCTGCCGCCGAGATGCCGCTAGAATATGGCGGTATGGCTAAGAGAAAGATGAAGAAGGTGGGAATGGGCCCGGCCATGAGCCTTGATAAATGCGTGGTTCCATCTGGGTCAGAGTCGCTCTTGTTCACAAGCGAGGATTATTCCATGTCGCCGCCTCCTCGGGCTGGGTCGATGTTTGCATCTGTCAACCGCTTGTTCGGTCGGGCGCCTTCGAAAACACAATCTTCTCACCAGAGTCCAGTCAGTCAAGCCTTCGGCATGCCTACGAGTACAAGTGCCCCAGGGAACCCATTTGGGGCTCCGGATAAGTCCTCTCAGCCTCCAGCTGGTAGGGGCTTTTTCGGCGGGCCTGTGAGCAGTTCATCTCCAAGGACCGCATTTGGAATCCGTTCTGAGGGCTCTTCCGCAGGAGGCCTCTTCGGCGGGCAAAGCTCCGGATTCGGGGGAGGCTTGTTTAGCACCGGCGCTCCTTCTTCACCCCCTCCACCACCCCTCGCCGCGCCGGCACTCGCCCCGCCTGCTGCGGAAGTCGACGAAGCCCTTCTAGAACAGTATCGGAAGGAGATGGACTATGCCTTGTGCACGCCTCTTGACGACATGGATGATGATGATGTCGCATCTGCTGCCCAGCAGATATGTCAGAGTGTCTCCCCAATGCCTGCTGCGGTAGGGGACATTTGGACCAAGCCCTTCTACCATTCACAGACTCCCGCGGACCAGTTCTCCGCCCTTGTATCGATGCAGGAATTCAGTGGATATTGGGTGTGGTCGGACAAGCTGTTCGCCGTCCTCGGCGTCTCTCCCCAAGATGTCAAGAGCACGGCGGAGCAGAGCGTCCAAGGCAGCCAGGACTCGGCTTCATCGTCAACCGCTGCCGTTGTCGCTTTCTTAAGGAAGAGGTTAGCAGACGAGCGCGACTGTTGGGAGATGATGGAGGAGAAAGCCGTGGCTTGGCTGGAGGCCGAGTTGGGAGACGAGAGTGAGAAACTCTTGGCTGCTCTCGAACAACTCTTCTGAGACTCTGGGGGGGCTCGAGAGGAAGTGAAATACGGAACAATATTTAGCTTGGGTGGTGTTTGCACTTTGAGTATGAGATGGAAAACGCGCTTGATCGAGAAGGGAATTTGACGATAATGACAACGACTATGAAACCATTAGTAATTAAAGCAGATGAAATACAGAGATGCCACAGAAACATGAAGTCCCAATATGTCTAGCAATGTGAAACCAATGAGGGCTTGTTCTTTGATAGTGACTATTAAATGCAGATGAAGATCCAAATGCACAATAGTGCATGACCAATGTTGAACTAGCAAAACGTCTTCACTTCCAACGTCTCGGGAGAGGCCCGGCTTGCCTCGGCCCAAATCTCTCCCGGTTTCCGTATCGTCCGAGAGTCCCCCCCCCCTCCCAACACCTCGGTCGGACCTTGACGCGCCGCCGTCTTCCTTTCACCAGCATCAATTTTGACTAACCCCCAAACATAATCATTCCCGCCTTTTATTACGTGGCCCGCCTGAGGTTTGGGATTACCCCATTTTCAGTTGCGGCCGATCGATTCGGAGCCATTGTGGCCGACGCTCTCTTACCAGTCTGTTTCTCCCACACCCACCGGGTTGGTGACCCAGCAGTCCGTGTCTACGGAAGCGTAAAGCTATTCAGCTTGTGAGAAGTATACCAGCTATTTATTCCACGTCTTCTTCGGGCACGTTCGTCATCTTACCCGTCATGGCTTTTCGTGCCTTTGCGCGCTCCGGCGCCCGCCTGAGGAGCACCGCTCCCTGCCGGTCATCGGCACGTCGCCACGGACTGTCCGACCCAGCCTTTGAACAACCACGCTCAAAACTCCTTCACACAGCCTCCTCAGAGTCGTCCAAAAGGGGCGGCCGGTTCATCGCCCTCCAGCTGCTGGCTCTCGGCGCCATACCCCTATTGGCCGGGTACCTGCTCGGCCGGTCCGCCGCTTCGGCCCCGAACGCGGCGTCCCGGAGCAAGTTGTCGCGGGTCAACTTTGCGAATCGGGGGCAGATGCTGCGTGTAAGTTTCTGGTCCAGTCGATACTTTCGGCTTAACATGAGGGGGGAAGGCTCACGCGCGTGCAGGCGGCCGACGAGATCTCGGAAGCACTGGGCGAAGACGCGGTCAGCTTCGACGAGGACGAGATTGAGTTGCACGGCCACTCGGACTGGTCGACGTCGAACTCGAGCGGGCGCCCCGTCGCCATCGTGTATCCCAGGACGACTGAGGACGTCTCCCGGATAGCCAAGATCTGCAACAGGCATAGCGTGCCAATGGGTGAGTTCTACGTGCTCGCCAGCCGACCCTCTCGCCCACTCCCCCGATGAAGGCGTGTGCGTTACTCTGGGAGAGGCTGACAGCTTCCCAGTGCCGTTCGGCGCCGGGTCCTCGATCGAGGGCAGCTTCTCGTCGCCCTACAGCGGCATCTGCATCGATTTTGTGCACATGGACAAGATAATCGCCTTCCACCCTGATGAGTCGCGACCCCCCCTCCATACATCCCCTCCAAGACAAGGCCGCCTTCTGACACGTTGCGCTCCAGCATGGACGTCGTCGTCCAACCAGGGGTGAACTGGGTGACGCTCAACAGGACCATCCAGGACTCGGGCCTCTTCCTCCCGCTGGACCCCTCCCCGACCGCCATGGTGGGCGGCATGGTCTCGACCAACTGCAGCGGCACCAACGCCTTCCGCTACGGCACGATGAAGGACTGGGTCGTTAACCTCACCGTCGTGCTGGCCGACGGCCGCGTCATCAAGACCCGCAGGCGGCCGCGCAAGAACTCGGCCGGGTACAACCTGACGTCGCTCTTCGTCGGCGCCGAGGGCACGTTGGGCATGGTGACCGAGGTGACGCTGAAGCTCGCCGTCGCGCCGCAGGACACGGGCGTCGCCGTCGTCTCGTTCCCGACCATCGACGAGGCGGCGCGGGCGGCCACGCGGCTGATCCGCTCGGGCGTCCAGCTCGGCGCGCTCGAGTTCATGGACGAGGTGCAGATGCGCGTCATCAACCGGCACGGGAGCGAGGCCGTGAGGAAGACGGCGTGGGACGAGAGCCCGGCCCTTTTTCTGAAGTGAGTTTCCTCAACACCAACCAACCGATGTGCCGGGGAGGAATGAAAGGCTTTCGATCGGCGTTGAGATTTGGTTTCATTTTCATTTTCATTTTTTTTCACCTTTATTGGCTGACATCCGACAGGTTCGCGGGGACAACCGAAGGCATCAAGGGGGACATCGCCCGGGTAAAGGAGATGGCGCAGCCGTTCAAGCCGCGCAAGATATTCTTCGCCAGGAACAAACAGGAAGAGGCGGACCTCTGGGCCGCTCGGAAGGAGGCCTTGTGGACGATGACGTCCATCAAGCCCGAGGGATATGCGCTGTGGTCGACTGACGTGGCCGTACCCATCTCGCGGCTGGCCGAGATCATCAGTGAGATTGGTCTTCTTCTCCCCCCTGTTTGTTTGATCAAAAGTGGCGGGGCTTGCAATGACTGACGTGACAAACCCACGTGTTGCCAGACTTATCGAAAGAAGACTCCGGGAAGCTGGGACTCTTCGCGAGCGTCATCGGCCACGTCGGCGACGGGAACTTCCACCAGGCCGTCATGTACGACCCGAATGACGAGGCGCAGCGGGCGTCGGTCGCCAAGTGTGTCCGGGTCATGATGAGCAGGGCGTTGGAGATGGAGGGGACGGTTTCGGTGGGTTTTGGTTCCCTCGTTGGCCGTTGTACTATTTCCTGATTCTTGTCGTGCGTACAGGGCGAACATGCGATTGGCATCGGAAAGAAGGTCTTATATCCAAGTTTCCGCTCCGCGCCGTGGGAGGGCTCTCCTCGCCCGCATTCGTTGACCACCAGCTAACACGGATGGATGTGTGTAGGACTGTCTGGTAGACGAGCTTGGAGACGACGCCATCGACTTGATGAAGACGTTGAAACAATCCGTAGATCCCAAGTATGTTCGGCCATTCCCCCCCCCTCCCCCCTCCCCGATGCATCCATGTGGTATTGACCATCTCGCAGGTGGATCATGAACCCGGGCAAGGTCTTTGATCTCCCAGCCGGGTCCAAGGCTTCCGCGGCCAGGTGAACCAGCCCTACGTGATCTCACGATCACAGGTGCGTGGACTCGGATGGAGCCAGCATTCGGCTAGATATCAAGAATTTGCATCCTCCTCCTAAACTGCCCCCTCCCCCCCAACCTCTGTATCTGCATGTTGGCTGCGACTTGATGACCAACGTCCAGAATAGTTCGAAAGGAGGGCCTGAAACCCGCGTCCTGCATTTGCGGAGGTCGCGTCGCAGTTGGTTGCAGCCAACGCAACGTGGGGGCCCGTGGAACGCCCTCCTTGTTTCTATTTTATCTTCATTTACATGCCCCCCCTGATGCCTCGAAGCCGGGTCTTGGGGTTGCCAAGCATCGAAGGGGGGGCTTCTTACTGTGTACTTGTTCAAACCAACATGTGAGATGCGATGGACCCGTGCCTCACGACAACATGTTTCACTCATGTTTGCTCCCCGTCTCTATTTGTAGCCATACCCGTCTAACCAGCTCGTGAATGAAACCATTTCTGGCCAGATAGCGGCCCGCCTGTTGATTCACTTGTCCCGTTTCTTGAGTATCTGCACCGAGGAATGAATCACTCAATGCCAATTAGTGACGAGCACCGAGAGTTATTGTGGGAAACGCCGGTCTACTGACATTACCAGTCACTGTCGCAATGGGTCGCCAGCACGCATCGCGTCGCATTGCACCAGAATGTTCTGTTCATCTCATCGTCAGGCTGCGGGATCGCGAGGACAACCCCGGTTCTGTAGCTAGTCATGCAAACCACAACAGCTGAAAAAGCCCCTGCATTTCGGCCGCAACATCACACAATGTCGAGGGGGAGGGGAAATGCCCATGTTGCGAACCAAACCAACCGCACGAACTGCCACCTCAAACCGTCTGCAGACTTGGTTCGCGGCGTTCCAACGGTTTTGAGCACGTCAAACCGTCGGACAATGGGGTTTGAGATGCAAACCATTGAAAAATGTCCCGGCTCCCCCCGTCGTCACCAAGGCAGTCAGTCCATCCTGGCCTGATGCTTTAGATCAACCCATCTACTATGCAAACTCAACACCGTTGTGATGCTTACACCATGTATATCCCTGCTATGGGCACTCACCCTGCTATGCACCTTTGCTGCGGCTCAGACTCGGGTCGAGTTGACGGTCCGAAACATCCCCGGTCAGACGGCCTTGGAAACGCTGCGGACGATCCGACGACACCTTCAGAATGCGAGAGTCGAAGGGAGGGGAAGAGCGGTTCAGCAACAGCACGTCGTTGGACGAGAGCTTTGACAACGCAGTCCTCTTCAAATTGTAAGTCTACTCTTCCCCTTCGTCACTTGCCGTGAGAGCAGAGAGCATCGACGGCTGGCTGACCTTCCACTTCTTGAAGCGAGGATGCGGGAAAGGTGGGGAATGAGAACGTCACGGTGCAGGGCGGCATCAACATCGTCTGCGCGCGATGCTACATCAAGGGCGAGGCCGTCGCCCACCTCACCATCGACGGCGCCTTCAACACGACCCAGGTGCTCGGCGACATCGGCAGCGAGTTCGCCGAGACCTTTGACAACATCACGACGTACGCCAAGGACTACGTCGAGGGCGTCGCCGCGAAGCTGTCGGACGGCCTGGACGCCGACGACTTCGGCTTCCCGCCGCTCAACATCACCTTCGACGTCGACGTCCCGGACTTCCCCGAGGCCCGCGGCTCAGCTTCGGCTTCGACGACCTCGAGCTGTACGTGCAGCTGGACACCACCTTGTCCGCCGGCATGAACTACAAGCTCAACCTGTACACCTCGACGACGCCGCTGGGGGCCAAGATCGGCGACGCCTTGCACCTCGGCGTCGTGTTCGCCATCGATCTCATCCTGAGCGTCGAGAGCGAGGTGCGCATGGGCAGCGGTTTCCACATCCGGATGGATGACAGGGTCGGCTTCGACATTGCATTGTCCTCCAAGAACGTGTCGAGCGTGGACTTGTAAGTTGCCCCATCCCTTTACTCGGGAAGCAGGACTTCCTCTTCCTTCGGGGGACACTTTCGCTCACAGTAACTAATAATGATAAAAACCCCAGCAACGGCGGTCGGTTCGAGTTCCTGCCGGTCGTCGTCGAAAGCGCCGGCGTCGTTCTCAAGGCCGTCCTCCGGGTCGGCGTCAGCGCCGGCATCCAGCTCTCCACCCCCGTCGACCCCAGGGAGCTCGAGATCTTCAACAAGTCCCTCACGATACCGGGCGCGTCGGCCGGCGTCGAGGTCGGCGTCTTCGCCAACGTCGTCGAGCTCAGCACCAACGTTACCGCCCTCGCGACGCCCGACGAGGACGGCTGCGCGCTCCGCGCCGTCAACGCGTACCAGTTCGCCCTGCGCGCCGCCGCCGGCGCATCGGTGCGCATCGGAGACCGCGTCTGGGACCCCGTGCCGAGCACGCAGGTCGCCATCTTCTACACCACCCTCGGCGGCGGCTGCGCCAGCCAGCGGATAGCGCCTGTAACTGCGACTACGACGGTGACGACGACGACGCTGAGCGAGAAGGTCACCTACACGGCCATCGAGTGCCTGACGACGGGTCTCGTCAACTGCCCGCCCCAGCCGCAGACTCTGAGGAAGTTTGTCGCGACCGAGACGTTCGTCACGACCGTGGCGTCCGGCGAGAAGGCCACTTTTCCGGCAGCAACGCAGCCCGCCATCCCAAAGGTTGTCGACTTCGGTTCCGGCGCCAAGTCTTTGATATCGACTAGCGAAGCTCCCAAGTTGTACACTCCCCCGCCTCCCCTTACTTCTACTCCGTCTGCCACCGGCACCAACCCTGCCGAGGCACCCAAAGGCGCCGAAGGCGTGATTGGCGGGGTCGACAAGAAGGTCTTCATCGGCGTCAGCGTCGGCGTCGGTGTTGTCGTGCTAGCTGGTATTATTGGTGCTTTTGTGTAAGCCCCCCCCCCCCCCCCCCCCTTTTTTTGTGGCTAATATTCCCATTGGTTGTTATATATGCGCTCCTTTTCTCGGATGCTAACGCATAGGATTATAGATATTGGCAGCGAAGACGCAGGTACACGCCTGTTGCTAAAGCAGACAGATTTGTAGCCTTTTCGCAAGAGACGCAATCGCCGGGCAGCTACGAAGGCGTCAAGGAACAAGAACAGCCCGAAGTCAGTATACAAAGGATATGACTTCGGACTGCTATGTCAGGCTTGGTTTCTCAACAGGAGTTTTGTTTTTCGGTTGCATAAACTTGGAAAGGGGGACGGCGTTCGGATTATCCCCCAATTTCAGCTGTCTCTACTAGACCACCTAGATACCTCGGAACTTTGTAAACTATGTTCTTAGAGTCCCTTACTGACCAATCTTTATGCCACGCGTAGTGATAGGACGGTAGACTCCGGGTTAACGAATGCCCTGGATATTCGAATCAACGAGGGAGGTGACTACGTCTCAATGACTTGCACAGATTCGAGGAAATCCTCCACATCCTGCAGCAGTAACTCTGGCTGCTCAAGAGCAGCGAAATGGCCTCCCTGTAAGCGTGTCAGCACCCTATCGCTGCGGGTTGATGGCATCTAAAGTGCTGGGCTGGCTTACCTTATCGTGCGTGCGATACAACTTAAGGTTCGGATAGGATTTCTCTGCCCACGGCTTTGGCGTGAAGCTGAGCTCACTGTGGAAGCTCGAGTATCCCATCGGCGTCTCTTTCGATGTGGGTACAGAACTGAGCGACCCAGACCTCAAGCCCTCGGCGATTCGGGCGTATGGGTAGATGCTCCTGGGGAAGGTAGACGTGAACCAGTACAGGCTGACCAGTTCAAGAATGGTCTCGGTTTGGAGGGGGTGCCGACTATCCACCCACTCCAAATATTTCTCTCCGACCCTGTCACGCGTCAGTACTGCCATCAATGTGCCAAGTGTAGACGTCTCAGTCTCACCAAGCTAGAAGAGCCAACGGATTCGTGGACAAGACTAGGCCGATAGTTGCTGGCCTGGTACCATGCGTCAGGGCGTACGAAATTCCTGTTTTGAAAAATGCCGCTGCCTTCTGCAGGCGTTCACGGTCTTGCTGTGGAAGCTGTTCTGATTCGCTCGAATCGTCCGCTGTTGGGGCCAGGAAATTGACTGAGCTTTGCGTCAGTATCAGTGCTGACAATTCATCACCCGGCATTGCTCACGATGAAAAGCCTTGCATTCCTTCTTCCACGACATGACCCTGGCCAGGGTACTCCCGACATCCCCGCCCTGAGCGGCGTAGCCCCCGCCAAATCCCAAGTCCAGCATCAGCTGATGGAGGGAATCCGCCACCGGACCCAGGCCCGTCTCCTTGTCCAGGGGGATCGAGTCCGCCGAGAGTCCGTAGCCAGGTATCGACGGCACAATGACGTGATACGGCAGAGAGTCGGGGGTGTATTTCTTCACCAGCAGATGGAGGATTGGGAAGAACTCCAGAAACGAGCCCGGCCACCCGTGCATGAAGATGATCGGGACGGCATCCTTTCTCTTGGAGAAGAGCGCCGTGAAATGGATGTCCAAGGTCCCCAGGTCCGCGTTCTCCACCTTGGCCTTGAAGTTGGGGAACGAGTTGATACGGTCCTCGTGCTTCCTCCAGTCGAACTTGAGCCAGGCGTCTTTGGCACCAATGAGCCAGTCACGGGTGACGCCGAAGCGTCCGTCATGCTGCTGCTTGTTTTGCCACGTCTCCGGGCCGATTTTGGACAGCTGCAGGAGCTGTTTGAACTCGACCAGGTCCTGGTCCGGGACTCGGAGTGTAAACTTCTCGGGTGTCTTGAGAACCCCGCCGGGGAGGCTGCCGAACGCCTGCGCCATGGTGGAATCAGTGAGTTGATGACGCTGCGGTTGATTTGTTGTTGAAATATGGCAAAGCTGTGTGTTCAAGAAGGTCAAACTGCCCGTATGGTTTCTTCAACTTTGCTTGAGTTCACGGCACAGGATGAGGCGCCTTTATGACAGCTCGGCGCCGGAGTTTGACTTTTGAGCCGAATGCCAGTAATGCCCCTCCGCATATGTCATTGAACCCCTCATCCCGTGTACACTGCAGACGATGCGGGGAACACGGAGAAGATGCCAAAGACGGAATGCGCAAAAGTCCGATGCATAACGGGATTGTTGGGCGCTTAAACTCAAAGATCCACGCCTACTTGCATATGGCGAGGTAACGATGGACCAGCGGAGCGACGCGATACAGTATGTAGCAGTGGGACTCCATGTTCGGCAATCCGGGAACACCGCTACGTCTATTCCGGGCTATCCGTAACAAATGGCAGTATATTGCCGGTTTAAACAGTCACAGTCTCTCACGACTTTTGAGAATTTTGTCTTGAAGCACGCACGTTTCGGTGCGGTATCTGTTGCGTATTGCGACGTTCGTAAAACCTTGTGCAGCATCACTCGAGTCGTCAAAAAAGACTACATTATCTAGCCGCGTCATCTTCCTGTAGTATATTCCCAGTTATTTCACTTCGCAGGCGCTCGGGTTCAACTTAGCTTCGCACTGTGCAAAACTAACAAGTTTGTCAGGTCGATGCCAATGCCCACAATCAAATTGCCTCTAGTTATTTTCAGGGACTTCTCCAATGGTCCCCTAACTTAATACGTTGCCACGAGAGTATGTCAATGCAGTTGCCACTTCCTCACGGAATACTGTTATGTGTTTAACTCAGAAGCACTACAGTCTGCACCATTCCCAAACTAGCTACAAGTAAAAATGACAAGTACACGGTCATATTCAGAAATCTCGTGATGCTGTTAGTGTGTTCATGCTAACCTATATTGAACACACACTCCCTTGAAGTTGTGTCTAGCAGTCGGGCCCGGAAAGAATGGTTAACCTGCGGGTCGAAACATGCAAACCATCTGAGACTCTACTGAGTGCGTGATAGCACCAGTCACAGCTACCCTGCAAACTCGAAATTGTGACCTCCGTTATCCAAGTCCTATCCAAGCCTCCGATCACGTCCTGACTGTGGCCATCGGCGCAAGGCATCGTGATGGGGTTGAAACTGACACAATCAAGACTTTGTGTTATTTGGGATCTCAGAACCGCTGACTAGACGTTAATATTTACCTTGTCTCTCCAAGCTTTGGCTGTCACTCTTATACGGATCACAGGTCGGGTCATAGAGCGTCTTGTCCCAGCCGATGAGTCCGGTGGCATCTACTTGTACGCCGATAGCATTTTATGCGACGGGGAGGTTGCCTGATGCGAGCAGATGAGAAGCCGCTGCCATGCCTCTATGGCTGCGATTTTGCTGCTGCTGTTCCTACCAGGAGGCGAAGTATCGGCCAGAAACATAGACAGCTTGAAAAAGTGGTATTGAGCAGCATTACATACCGGCACAAATTCTTCTATAAGATGAGGCATGGTGGTGATATGAACAAATGGAGGAACACCTGGAATGGCTTGGCCAACGCCAACAAGAGCAAGTTTCACCGGGTATGCTGAGTGTCTCGTACAGCACAGCCAACTAAAGGGTAGCGATATGCCATCAATCTTGTTTGTGCTGCCTACTTGCCACTTTCCCCCATCTGAGCATTTCAATTATCCGGCTGTGGTGTCTAAGTAGGGTTAAAAATATCCATAGATATCCATATGGATTTCCCTATAACACAGTCCATGGATCTAGTGGATATATCTATATAGTTAATAGATCCTATAGATATAGATTTTGTAAGCAAGTGTAATCTATAGGTAAAATAGTTAAATCTAAATAGATATTTTTTAATTATAGGTCTAGATATTACGGTTATAGAGTGGATTTTAGGATAGATATTATAGATATCTAAATTATAAGCCTCTAAATTTATATACTACCTAGCTCTAGGCCTTCTAGTAAGTATACTTTAAAATATATAATTTACTTTATATAGCTATTACTAAGATTAATAATATTAATTATAATTAATATATAGATTATTATAAAGACTTAAAGGTAGCTATTACTAAGATTAATAATATTAATTTACTTTATATAGCTATTATAAAGATTAATAATATTAATTATAATTAATATATAAATTATTATAAAGACTTAAAGATAATTTAGAAACTATTTTTATAAGATATATATTATCTACCTCCTTTAGCCCTTTAAATAGTAATCTTTATTTACTACTATCTATATTAGACTTATCTTAAAGATAAGAAAGACCCTTAAACTAAGAGCTATAACTTTAGGTAATTATAAAAAGAGAGCTTAATAAGGCCTAAGAACTAGGTAATAATAGCTTTAATACTAGCGTTAGTAAACTAGGCTTAAGAAGTAACTCCTAAGTACTAGTATTAACCTCTTTAGATCCCTTAACTATAATATTATAATTAAGCTTAATTTATGCTATTTACTAAAATATATATAACTCTATAAGGTTTATAAGGGCCTTATAGCTAAATCCTTAAAGAATAGTTTAGCTACGCTCCTTTATAACCTCAGTAAGCTAATACTTTTTAGGTATTAATAGCTTAAGGACACTAAAAAATAGCTACTACCTTTAGTGCTATATAATTATAAGGATAAGCTATACCTTAATAGTTTTTACTACTATATTAAAGTATAAATAGTAATAAATATATTAACTATAGCTAAATATTTACTTTAGTAGTACTAAAGTTAGTATTATATAAAAAAAGTTATAGGCTATTTAGTAAAGGCTAGTATACTTTATAAATTATTTTATATAGTGCTAGAAACTAAAAAAGGTCTTAATTAAACGTTTACTTAGTAGTATTAGTAAGGTAATAATAAGAAAGATTTCTACTTATATTTTTAAGGAAACTTCTAATTACTTTAAAGGCACTATAATAAACTATAAAAGACTAAATATAATTAGTATAAATATTATTATAAGAATTAATATAAAGATTAATATAGTAATTATTATAAAGATTATTATAAATATAATATTTATAAAAGGTAAAAGCGTTAGTTTATATACCTACTTTTATAGGCTTTTAAAAGTCTAAGTAGTAATACTATAAATTAATTAGCTTATTACTAAGGAAAAAGAAGCTAAACTCTAAGGAATATTTATATAGTAAGTCTTTATATAGGCTTATTTAAAGCTTTTAGTAATAGCTTTTTACCTAAGGCCTTAGTAATAGTTAAGACCTATAAACTAAGTATTATAGCTTTCCTTTTGTCTTTTATTAAGGGGGGATAGTAAGAGACTAATAGTATAAATAGCCTTATCTTCCCCTTATAAAGCTTTATACTTTTTAAGCTTTTTTATAGTAAGTTAGATAGTATAGTATAATAGATCTATTTAGTGCTAGTTCTTAGATATTATTTTTTTTAAATTATAGTTAGGCACCTCTTAAAATAGAGATAGGCTATCTTTATAAGGTTAATTATAAATAAAATATCTATAAGTATATCTCTACTAAGTAAATTAGTAAAGATAAAAAAGATCTTAGAAACGTTAAGTAGAGTTTTAAGTTATTACTACTTGTCTTTAGAGAGCTAGAATTACTTATCTTTTTAAAAGATATTAAGATAGGTATTAATATACTACTAAAGCTTAAGTATATAAAGGTATATAAGTATAGTAAAGTTCTAATATATCTAAATATTAAAGATAAGCTACTAAGGTTTTATATTTAGTTTACTTATTTATTAAAGGTTAAGAAATTCCTAGGCCTTTATTAGGCTATACTTAAGCTTAATTATAAGATAATAAATCTATAGTATATATTAGTACCTTTTAGAAAAACAGCCTTAGAATAATATACTTTTATAATAGTAGTTATAATTATAACTTTTAGTGTTATAGTAATTCCTTCCTCTAGGAGCTCTAGAGTACTAGAGAAAGCCTTAATACTATTATCTTAGCTTAATTTACTAGCCTCTATATTAAGGCCTTAGTAAAAAGTACTTTTTTTCTCTTTATATTAATCTTAAACTTCTTCTTTATTAAGAGCTCCTTATATCTTAAGATTTATATAAAAAGCCTTAATAATAAGGTTAAATATATAGGTAAGATAATATATTAGAGTAGGGTAGGGTAATTAGCCTAAAGTAAGGTAGTATATAGACTAATTAGACAATTTTAATCCTAATTAAGTATAAAGATATAAGTTAGTATTAATAGGTTTAGAGATAAATATATATAATTTATCCTTTATACTTATACCTACTTTCTAATTAAACTAAAGCCTCTTTAGGATTTACCTTTAATTATAATAATATAAAATAATTAGAAGTAATTACCTACCTAATTAGGGCATAATTATACTTAATCCTATAGTTTAACACTTATAATTAATATTAATTCTAGACAGATTAATATAATTTATACACTAATTAGTAAGGAATCTTATGTTACTTTTAGTAGTTATAGTGTTCTATATAGTTACTATACTATAAAAGTCCCTTATACCCTATACGCTTTTAATAGTCTCCCCTTCTAGAAAATTAACTATAGGTTTAAATTAATTAAAAAGATATCTAGTTAAGCACACTAAGTAAGTTATTATAAAAGTAATAATAATAAGATAATAAGATTATAAGAAGTAACTAATTAAGGGAATAAAGAAAACCTTAAAAAAATAATAAGATAATAAAGTAATAGATTAATAACTTAAATAAAAGAAATTACCTAATTATAAAACTAAGATAATAAGTTAGAACCTTAAAGGTTACTAATTTATAATAATAACTAAGATAAATTATAAAAATACTAAAGGAGCTAGATAAAGCTCTTAAAAGTCCTTATAAGTAAGGTAGTTTATTATAATTAGTTACTTATAGTTAATTAATATAAAATAGCGCCTTAAGAATTACCTAATCTAGAGATATAAAGCTATTAGCCTTAAGACTTTTTATAAGCATACTAATTTAAGTAACTATTATAACTTTATAAAGAAATTATAATAGATTAAAAGACCTTCTTTATTAAAAGTTAGTTAATAAGTTTAGCTAAGGCTAAAGATAATTATATAAATTCTACTAATTAGGGGTATAGCCTTAGCTTAGATAATAAGATAAGTTACTTTAGTACTCTTAAGAAGGATCTTAAAAAGTTTAAATTAAAATATAATTATTAAAATCTTTAACTTAATTAATAAGTTATACACTAAATAACTACTAACTAATATAATAAGTAATAACTATACTACTTTTTCTTAAGAGGCTACTTTTAAGTATACCTTAGGCTTAACTTTAAATACTACTTTAGTAAGAGGACTAGCTTTTACTAAGTATTAAGAGCTAAAAAGGATTAATCTTTCTAAGGATAAAGAAAGTAGTAATACTTCTAATCCTCTACTTATAGTACCTAATTAGAAATAGAAACCTCTCTCTATCTCTTAGGAACTTAACTTTTCTATAAATACCCTCCTTACTACTTTTACTGCTTAGATTTAGCCTAAGGTCTTATAAGTAATAGTAAATATAGTTCTTAACTAAAGAGAGAACTTAAACTTTTTTAAGATACCTTTTTTAGGCTAAAGTAGTACTATAGTTTTTTCTAGAGATAATATTATTAACTTCTTAGAAAAGTATAAGGATTAATATAAGCTTATATAAGTGCTAGACTAATTAAGGGGTATACTAGTAGCCTACTATATAAGGGGAGATTATTAAACTTTAGTAAAGGATATAATTAAGGACTTACCTTAGGTCTAGGCTAAGGCCTATCTCTTAAAGGAGTATAGAAAATAAGCCGCTAATTAATTCCTTAATAAGAAAAAATAAATTAAGAAGGTTATAAGGGGATTACTAATCTTTAGCTTAGACCTATACTTAGCTAAAGCACTTTTTACTAGTGTTAATAATATAATTACTAAGGTAAAAGTAATAAGGCCTTTATATAATTTCTAATAAGAGCCTAATTAAGGCTATATATAAGTAATTTAACGCTAAGACTATAGAAAAAGTAGTAAAAAAAATAAGGATTAGCCTCTTAGCCTTTATTTAATTAAGAAAGTATATAACGTTTAAGAGTAAACTTCTTAATATAATTATTTATAAGAAGGAGTATAGGCCCCTATTTACTAATAGTAAGGGTAATAGTACCTTTATAACTTAACTAGCCTAGTAATAGTCCTAAAGAAACTCTACTTATTAGTACTAAGATTACTAGTAACTAAGATAATTAACTATTAACGTCTATATTAACTAACTAGTCCTAAGTAATACTAATTAAGACCTTACTAATATTATAAGTAAACTTAAGATATAGTAGAATTCTATTTAGCTAAAAGGGTCTACTTAAGTGTTTAAAGTTAGTATAGTATAACTAGATTAAGTAAAAGTATTAGACCTAAGAGATAGATATTAGTACTACTAGTCTAATAAGTATTAATTTATTTAAGATTATTAGTAATATACTTTTAATAAGGATGTATATCTTATAATCTTAGTCTAAAGAGCTTAGTATTATAAGAAGTATAATAAGTAAAGTCTAATAAATAATATACTATTCTTAGTAATTAAAGATAGC